CTGTCTTCGTTTTCATCATCATCATCATCATTATCGTCGTCGTCGTCGTCATCATCATCATCATCATCATCATCATCATTACTATCATCATCATCATCATCATCATCATCATCACCTGCATATTAACAGGGTTATCGATAACACTTAGCGCGACCGAATATAAGAGCGTGTACCTACGTTTTTTGTGATCGATACGGCCTCGGTCCAAGGGGTAGCATGCATATATTTATCAAAGTGGATATATTATTGACGCATCACAATGAACATGTATGAATAATAATCGATATCGAACCCGTGCGGATAACTTTAATACGTGAACATATATGTATAGTTGCGTATGGATGAAAAAAAAACATAGGTGTCCGCGTGCTTTTTTTCTCAAATGGCACACCCGCGACGTTTACGTTTTGGACCGTTCTGTCGCGAGCGATCCTGCTAGCAGGAAAATGTAAAGAAAACGGCAAGCTTTCCTTTTCGGTAGCAATAGACTGCTTATCTCAAATTTCATTTCCTTCGTTTCTTCGGTTTTCCTGCGCGCCAAATGGATCTGCTCTCGACAAAAAGAAAGATCTTGCAGCACAAAAATCGTTAAAAACATCGCGTTTTGAAAGCCACGCGAGAAGGAAGCTTTACGAATCCACGATTCAGTGGAAAGACAGTAGCTATACGCTCCGCGATTCGCTTTCTTTTTGCACGTGTAAACGAAACACCGCACCATCGCTAAAATATACGATCTAAAATTCTAAACCTCTGTAGAGCGACGTATTATTGCAGTGAGACAGCTGCGCAGTAGCGAGCAGCGATAGTAAAAATGTAGAAAAAAAAAATACAGAGATAGAAAATAGATAGAGCAAAAGAGAGCCAAAGAAAATGTAAGCTCGCATAGTGTGTTTTAAATGCAATGTGGACGTGTCAGTGGCCAGAGCTATGTTGCGCGCGCGCATCGGTTAGAAGCTAGATCATGAACGTTTTTCACCGAGCTTTGTGAGATCTTTCTTTTTACTCTTGCTTTCGTTCTTTCTGTGTGTTCCGAATCGAGCAACGTTCCGTTTCATTTTCCATTCACCGCCGATCCTCTTTCGATTTAAAGCGTACAACATTCATTATGGCAAAAAAAAAAAAGAAAGACGACAAACAAGTATATTTCTTTTGTCTCGATACGCGATCACGGAGATCGCGGCTGCGGTAGAGTGATCGGGGTGATCACCACAGCGCGAGTACTATACTCGTAGCCTGGTGGTATGGTCACGACCGAGATTAACGTCACAAAGAACAGTACACCAGTAATAATAATCATCATCCTAGAAATCTCCTTACTTTTCTGTTCGATTAGCCATTCCAGAACTCTCTCCTCGTTCTTAAGATTACCTACAAAAGGCACACACGCATATCAGGATCAGCTGAGTTGCTGGATGTAACGAGATCATTGTTGGAGTGGGGTTTAAATTTTGTCTGAGGGTTTCGCCAGATTTTGGTGTCGGGATTCCTGGGTGATCGGTTGTTCTTCCTTTTATTTTTACGTGTTATTATTCTTTTCGTCCGAAAATGTTTGGATATTTGTACTTCGAGTTAGTATTTTCGTTGCGAGCAAAAACAGGGTAACGATTAAGTTTGCTTGGAATATAATTTTCTATTTACCGACACGTCTACTTTGTCAACCTTCGCACGATAAAATCTGAAACTAATTTCGCTTGCGGATAGAATTTTCAACTCAAAGAAGAACAATGGCGAAGAGGAGGATTTCTGATGGGGTTACAGAGCAGAAATCTTTACTGTCTTTGTTTCCTCCTCCGACTGGGTGAAACTAAAGATATCTCGCGTAAAGAAACAAAGAGGATTTAGCCGAGGGAACGCGGGTCTTGATCGTGATCGAACAAGCCAAGGAAAAAGCATTCGAGACTTACCGTCGTACATGATGGGGACGCCAGTCTCGTAATAAACGAGAGCCGGAAATGAGAACACGCCGATTTCGGCGGCTAATTTTGCGTCGTTCGACTTTACGAATTGAATACCGTGTTTGTCAGTGTCGTCATCAATGGTTTCTAGCTCCTCGAGAATTTCCGGACACGATTCGCATTTATCATCGTCTGTTAAATAAAACATTATCATACCAGAGTGTTTCAATAATCTTCGCGTCGTTCCAATATGTTACAGATGACGAGAATATTTAACGAACTTACAAAAGAATACAGCAAGATGCTCGACGTCGTTGATGAGGACCTGTAGCGTCTTCCTGTCGACGCTTTCGATCACATCCGGAGTTTGCGTACGAAGATCTAGGATCCATTCCAAAATTGCTTCTTCGTGCATCATGTCGCCGTTATAGACTTGACGGAATTTGTGTCTGTAAAACGCCAACGCCGGTAGACCAGGAAGATCGTACTCTTTCTCGATCCCATCGTCCGAGATCTTCACGAAATCGATATCTTTTTCCTCGCACTCGTCGTCGATGTTCTCCAGTTCCTGCAGGATCTTCTGGCTTTTTTTGTCACCTTCTTTGTCTGCGATGCGAAATCGTTAAGGTAGACGATCACCTTAATCTACTTTAACGAATATGATAAGCGTCGTATACTCACAAAAGTAGACGACGATGTAATCGTTCTCTTCGAGGATGTTTTCCAGCATTTTGGCATTCACTTCCTCGATCTTTCCTGGGATTTCGAGGGTGTCCTCGTCGGTGATCCACGACAGCACTTCGTCTTCGTCCTCGATGTCGCCTTTAAAGATCAGTGGCTCCTTGTTTCTGAAGAAGGCCAACGTAGGAAAGCTTTTGATGCCGTGTTTCTTCGCGAATCCGGTGTCTTCCGTTGTGACGAAGATGATGCCTGTCTCGTCCAGCTCGTCGTCGATATTCTCGAGTTCTTCGAGAACTTTGTCGCACTCGTCACCATCCTCGCAGTCTCCGCCTGACAGACAACATCAAAGATAAAGGTTAATGGAACGAGGGACGAGAATATAACGAGGGTCTATGCTCACTGAAAAACGCGACAACATATTCGTGTTCTTCGATTAGATCGGCCAGGATCTCGTCCGTGACCTCCTCGATGGTGGCGGTGTTCTTCTGCTCGATGAGCCACTCGAGCACCTCGTCCTCGTTCAAGAGGTCTCCTTCGTAAATCGCCGGTATCTTGTTCTCGAAGTAGACCAAAGTCGGCAGATGATCGATACCGTATTCCTTCGCCTCGGCGTCATTGTCCATCCTAATGATGACTATGCCTTCCTTCTCGAGCTCGTCGTCGATGTTCTCCAGCTCGTTCAGGATACGTATGTCCTGCTTGTCATCCTTGTCGTCTACGAAAAGGAATCAATTCGTGTCTCGTTTTTGCTCGCGATCGACCAACAGCACCTACCTAACCGGTAACAGTGGAAGAATGTTAAAAGGAGGTAGAAAGACGAATCGATCGCTTACAAAACAGGACTGCCAAGTACGGTGAGGTCTCGATCAGCTTCTCCATCATCTCGTCTGTCACTTCCGGTATCTCTGTATGTTTCTTCTGATGCAGTAACCAGCCCAGCAGCTGATCCTCGTTCATCAAGTCCCCTGCGAAGCCCAGACTCTGTTATTTTAGTTGATTCCGTGTTTAAAAGTATGAAAAGCAAACGAGGCGGTCTCAACCCGGTAGATTGTACTCGAGCCAAGTAATTTGGAAACAAGTACCTTCGTATATGTGCGGTATTCTTCTCTCGAAGAGTACCAGTGTCGGGAAATTGTCGATGCCGTATTCTTTGGCCTCGTCCAGATCATTGATCTTCACAAACGCGATGTTGTGTTGGTCGCAGTCGTCGTCGATGTTCTCCAGTTCGGAAAGGATCTTCTGGCTTTTCTTCTGATCCTTGTCGTCTGTTTAAAACAACGAGAACGGTTAAATGGGTGAAGAACAATTGAAACACTCGATACAGATCTCTAGCTAGCTTAATCTGGGGACAGGAAGTAAATTAAGCACTGACAAAAGAGGACGGCTACGTGTGGCATCTTCTCGATGACCATGTCGAGCATTTCGTCGGTGATGTCCTCTATTTGATCGCTCTTGTGCTGTTGCTCGATCCATTTCAGAACCTTCTCCTCGTCTTCCAGATTCCCCTCGTACAAAGTTGGGATCCCCTTTTCGAAGTACAGCATGCTGGGAACCTTCTCGATACCGTATTCCTTTGCCTCCTCCGCGTTGTCTATCTTCACGAAGATCACTCCGAGCTGATCGCACTCGTCGTCGATGTTTTCCAATTCATTGAGAATCTTCTGAGACTTCCGATCGTTGTTGTCGTCTGCATCGAGAATTTCATTAGCGATTTTCCAAGTTAACCTGTGAAATAAACGTTCGAAAGAATCGAGAGACTCACAAAACAGCACGGCCAGAGTCTTTCCATCTTTGATCAGACGATCCAACATTTCGTCGGTAACGTCTTCGATCTCGTCCTTCTCCAGCTGCGACAGCAACCACTCTAATATTTCGTCCTCGTTTTCGACGTCACCTGCGATCAAAAAATTTCATTATAATTCATTTCCAACAGCGCGAGAAGTCACTGCACGTCAGTGTTACCCGACTGCTCATACCACCTACCCACCATCGTAAACATTTGGGATCTGCTTCTCAAAGTAGACGATCGCAGGAACCGAATCGATTCCAAAGTCCTTCGACGCCTTTTCGTCATCGATCTTCACGAATTGGATTCCATGCTTGTCGCAATCGTCGTCGATCTTCTCCAGCTCGGTCAGCACCTGCATCGAATCCTCGTCACCATGGTCGTCTGAAGAATTCACGAAAGAATCGCTTGTAAATCGAATCGTGGAGACAACGAAGCGATCAAGAGAAAGCTACGCACAGAATAGAACGACCAGGTTGTCGATGTTTCCGATCAGGGTCTGGAGGGTTTTCGAGGTGACGTCTTCGATCACGTCTTCTTCGTCCCCTGTGCTCTTGTTCGCTATGAGCCATTCCAACACATCCTCTTCTCTGCTAAGCTCGTCTACGCAATATTACGTGAGATTTTATATGGGAGAATAAGTCGAATAAATTTGCGACTACGACAGCAATGCTTACGCTCGTAAATGATGGGAATTTGATGTCTGTAGTAGACTAAAACTGGAAGAGGGCCCAGATTGTATTCGTCCGCGAGCTGCTCGTCGGCGATCTTCACGAAACCGATGCCCAACTGGTCAGCTTCGTCGTCGATGTTCTCCAATTCTTGAAGGGCCTTCAGACACTTTTTGCAGTCTGGTTTGTCTGTCCCATTTGAAATAAAAAACAGTGTTATTGGGCGTTTCCTTTTGACGGTAGATCCGGAAACATCGAGTTGAACATCTTTCGGGCCAAATAGGATCAAACATTCGATTCGGGATGCTTTTGCTCTCTATCTTCTTTTTGGGGCGTTCCGTTTTTTTCAAAGAAAGTTTTGATAATTTGATCAAGCGTAGAAAATCCTACATTTGTCTACAAGTGAAATTCGATTGAACGTTTCGATGAAATCGAATCGTGTAAAAATTGCGTTACCGTTTAACTTTCTTTTTCAAATATTCTCGATCTACGAACAAGAACTACCCAGTCTAAGTGAGAATACACGTCGGATTAGTATGCAAAATTCCTCTCGAGTTATAGTTCACATTCATCTACTCTAAGGGGGGATGCACAATAATGCACATTCTACGATCTACATCACCATGTCTATCAATGCACACACGACACTGAATTAGTAATCGAATACTTTGCTTCTCCGTTTAATGCTTCTAACCGGGTAACGTAGGACTTCTTTCAGCCTTTAGCCGATTCGAAGTCCCATATCGTTTCGTTCCGTTGACTCTCCTTTGGCGTTATTCCACGTTAACCGACTGGAATTTATTAAACAGTCCGAGTCACTTCAATTACTAATCGATTCGATAAATGCTCGTTTCGTATATAAACTCCATGAGAATTCGTCGCACATGTAACATCGACGAAATAATTAAAAAACTCTTCTTGCTTCCTCGTCACCTTTTTCCTTCTGGATATCGAATTCCTCTATTACGATAGATAGAAACAGAGACAAATGCTGCAAGCGATGCAATGTGCTCAAAGTGTCAATTAAAAACCAGGTACTGGTTGATTGTTAAGTGTGTGTATTGGGAAGGTAAATACGTATATGGAGAACATACAACCGAGTACGAACCAGTTTGTTTAAGAATTTATCGTGAAAAATGTACAAACGGGGCTCAAGAAATAATCGCCTTCCTTGTTCTTCCAAAACAATCTGGCTCGTGCATCGTGGTGTGTGTACAAGCGTTGGAGATGAAAGCTGTATGACATTTAGAACAACGATGTCATTTAAATGTATACTTACTAGAACCGACGCCAGCACACCGCTGCGTATCCGGACCTATCCATACCAACACACACAAGAACGTTTCACATATATGTATTATTTACAAGTATGTTGCAAGTGATCGAATCGCAAAGTGGAGGGAGTCCCCGTCGAGGCGTTTGAAATTGCCAGGAGATTCGAAAGCTGGAACAAGATACGTCTGTTGTTCGCGAAGGGAATTTCGTTCGACTTCTGTGCCACTTTGCGATGCGTTAATCTTTCACAACGGACAACGACAAATTTTCGCAGACAATGGGAAAGAGACGAATACTGACAAGGGGATCGATGGGAATCGTCGGTAGGGGGACGTGACATCCATGGTGCTCTAAAGAAAAGACAATTTTCTAAGGCAGGATTCAGGAGGTATGTGGAATGTACGTACATCATAAATAAAAAAGATATGAAAATATTTACAAAATGGACTATTTCGAATAAATGTTGATATTTCGATCAAGGATAGCGAAGGGATCTTTTAAATTAGGGATCGGTTTGGGTATCACGTAATGGATGTCGTTTAAAAACTATTTCCTGTTGATAACGTGACGATTAAGAAAAGAATTATTCGACATGGCGATGTTAAATGATCCACTCTTTGTGATTCTATTGCGTTAATTTGCTCGGTGCTCGTAATTGTTGGAAATGTCGATGCGAGCTGCGGTGAACACAAAAAATAAGACGAAATAAATCGGTATTTGAACGAAACTTGTTATTGTAGCCGAGTTTACTGCGAGTTCTGTAAAGCCCTGTTAATCTTATGTACATTCACGATGTTAAGTACCTGTTGCCTTTGAACGGAAGACATTAGTAAGACAAAGAAAATAATAACAATAAAAGTGTGCGTTCTATATACACAAACGAATCAAGAAATAATGTATCATACTTCAATATCTGATTGATAACAAACTGTGCTCACAACTGAAACACAGAATTCTGCGAGTAATCGTTAAATTCTACGCAACGAACGCTGTCGAGTGTGACATGATTGGCTGATTTTCACTGTTTTCGTCGAGAAGAGTGTCTACGTAAATTCAATGGAACGCGATGTGAAACTACATGTAGCGTGTCATACTTTTACACTCTTCCCGATGAAAGCGAATCTTACTTGGGGTGATAGAGAGAGAATCATGGTTGTAATATACGATCATACGAGGCACGAGAGAAAGAACTCACAGAAAAGGACTGCCACGAATTCCGTGTCCTCGACGATCTTCTCCAGAATTTTTGAGTTTACCTCTTCGATACGATCGGGCAGGTCCATTGCTTCTAGACTCGTCAAGAAGTCTAGCACGTTTTCTTCGTCCATCAAGTCACCTGAAAGTCGCAATTACGTAATAACGCTACTCGATAATAATCGGACTTGGATTCCTCGGTTATTGAAATACGCGAGGAAAGTAAATAATTTTTCCAGCATCATCGCGAAATAAAAAGAGGATTAGGTTACCATTGTATGGTTACCGGTGTAGACTCAAAGAGTTAATAATACACCTCTAATTGCGATTTCCTGCCGCTTCTGTTTACCATCCCGAGACGTCGAAAATAGACTGCTATCGCGGTGCGTTGCATTTGGTACAATAGAAATAGATACAACCTGTCGTTACATCATCGAACGAAAATCTACCGAAACGTTCCGGTGAAAGCCAATACAACGGATTCGTTTTCGCTTTTCTCAGTTCACCTTGGACCGGACGTTCGAGATATTCGGTCCATCGAGTTAATAAATCTCCGCGATCCCGTTGCCAAACCCGGGCTTTAGTGGCCACAATGTAGCGGGATTGATGATCACACCTGTACCGCGTCTGCTTCCGCGTCGAGTGTCCAAGTGCGTTCAATTTCGGATTTTCTCCGTCTGGACGCGTGAACGACGCAACATCGCTTCATTTAACGTCTTTGCCGTTCGACGTTTATCTCGGAGATAATCAGACTATTACTTTCTGAATCTAGAATCTTAGAAAGTAACGTGCTAATTGCTACACGGAATGCGACTTCCGCGTAGTTTTACGCAGAGAATACTTCTTCGAATCTATCATTTAAATATCGGTCGTTTTAGTTGACCGTATGTAAATAATCGTGCAATGTTTACATTAGATCAGTAGCATCCTCTCTATTCGCGAGCACCTCTATCATTGACAGTGCCGCATTGTAGCAGGACGTTTTCGTTGTCGAGCGAATCAAAGCGCCTCTCGATCTAAATGTAGAGAGCTAGACAGCCAGCAGCTCAATGAAACCGTAAGATACAGTACATGGCACGCTGCATCGTGTCATTACGTAACGCGCATTCCATGTACTTTATTAATTTCCTCTTTTCGTTGAGGAGTCATCAGCCAAAAGAAATTACGCCGCGAGACCGCGACTCGATCGCGCGGATCCGTACAAGGCGGAAGATCACGGATCGCGGTACGCATCGAAGGGGTTGGTATGTTGAACAAATCTCGAGCACACGGATAGCTGCTGTTTTACAGATTAACCTCACCAAATACCAAAACTTGGGAGCGCTGCCAGAGAACGAAGGTGGTCAGACTTACCGCGCGAGGTGTAACCGTTCCGCGAAAATCTGAGATCCACGATTTTTCGTTCGATGAGCACGTACGTAACGTTTGGTTTCGTTGTCGATAGAATTCGACGAGACGCCAGTGTTTCTGGACCGTCGTCACGCGTCCAAATGTTATTGGAATAGGTTTACCTCGAGTTTATGGCACAAAGCATCGGAAAACGCGCGGCGTTGTTTCTCTCGAGGTACTTTTGCTTGAGATTTTGAGAAAATTCAAAAAAGTTCTTAGCATCGACCATTGGATCCCGTTTCTTGCAACCTCGTATTTAAGGTCCAATTTAATAAGCATTTCGATGCAAAGAGTAGAACACAACGCGCCGCGGCGTTGCAGGTAGTAATTGTCTGACCATTGCAGACCCTTTCTACTGGAACCAGTAGAGCACGCATATCGCGAAAATTCGAGAATATCAGCGATTGTTCCGTTGATTCTGGGTCAAGTACTATACCGCGGCGAGTCTCGAACCTTGTTTCTCATACCTGGCAAGGTTACCGAGATCGCGGCCGGATTCCAATAAAAGTTTGGCGAACTTTCAGCCATTTGGAATCATTGCTACCCGTTGTTGTACGTCGTAAGCGCGAATGCTATGTAAATATTTAACGAAATCGCGTTCGATTGTTCATCGCGCTGTAAATACGAGGTGCGTGCCTAACGAATAAAATCCAAATGTTTGGCGAGTCTAACCTTCGTAAATGATTGGTTCCTTTTCGCGGAAATACGTGAGGGCTGGGAAGTTTTTGATGCCATACTGCTTGGCCAGTCGTTTGTCGTTGATTTTCACGAAGTCGACCCCGAAGTGGTCCGTGTCGTCGTCGATCTTCTCCAGTTCGGCCAGCACCTTGTCGCATGTTATGCAGCTTCTCGCATCTGAAAAAGTAGTTGCGTTGGGTGATTAGCGACACTCACGATTTCGCGCTTTTTTGGCGAGTTATGGGGAACTTTAAACGAGTACGATTTAAATGAAAATGGATAATCTACTATTTCAACTCTTTATCAAGCGTAAAATTCAAGTGTCAAACGCTTCGACGCATTAATGCTGTAAGAAACCTTTGGCGAACGGGAGTTAACGATCAATTCCCGCGAGCACATCCTTGAAATCAGCCTAGCGTTACAGAAGAAGGAAAGGTAATCCTTCTTACGCGAGTTTTATGCTTATCGTTCGTGGCTTGGCAGTTCCGAGCGTTCTTGGCCGGCTCGGCTCCGTTCCTCTCGCTGGCGCGGCGGACGAGCTGCGCGGGTGTTGGGTTACAATCATTGGATATGGACAGCAAGGTATCTCTCGAACGTTTTCTCTATCGATCCTTCTTACCGCAGCCATCAAAATCTCGCCTCAATGACAACGACAGAAGCTACCACGCGAGATCCATGAAAGAAACCGAAAGAATTGGCGCTCTCCACCATTTTTGGCGAAGACATCCCAGGAATAGAGTCAAGAAAATCATTCGTTCTCGAGTCATTTTCCTTTGTTTCTGATTCTCCTTTTTTTCGCTCGTCTTTTCCCACCCCTGGTTCCATTTTAAATTCTATTTTCGCAAAGCTGTTTCCAATCGTTGACACGCAACAGTCGTGTTGATTTGTTGGACAACGCATCCCTGTTACCGTGTCGATTGCGTATGTTTTGTATTTTATTTGCCAGTCGACCGTATTTCTCGTTTGTTGGTATGTATCGTCGAAGCAATAACATTTGGCTTGCAGGCACCCCCGCACGAAGTCTGGCAACGTATGATCAGAGCTGAAAAAGAGAGGATACAGCAACGTCCAAAGAAGAGCGAGGAAGAGCGAACAGCCGAGTCGTTGAAAAACGTGTGCCAGTTAAGTTGGACCGACTCCACTGGCTGCGTTCTTAATAGAGGAAAGTTAAGAGAAATTGTGTGGCAATGATTGTCGAGTAACGCGGAAAAACTTCTTCGGGGTTCGCTAAATGCCACAACGGGTTACGCTTCGGAATGGTAATTGATGCCCATGTACTAAAGATATTTTGAGGGATTTTAAAACTTTGAAATTTCTAAACTTTCTAAATTTTGAAAAATAGTACAATTCTGTTATCTACGAAACTGTTTAGACAAACGGAGGGCAGTTTTCATAATTTTTAAACTTACGAGCATTTCCTATCCCCGACGATGACTTGAAATTTTCATCGGTCCGTTGTTTAGCAACCAATTTAAATAACGAAAAACTTGGAGTTTTTAGTTATTTCGGGTTGGAAACCGTATGCATCTGTAACAATGATTCTGTTATTCAACAGGCCACCTACATAAGACCCGAAGATTTACCGGCTGCGAAAACTATCTCGAACTGATCTTCCCGGTGAAGCAGAGACTCGCAAACAAATATAAATAGAGCGACACAAAACAATTCTATTTTTATTTCTCATCGTGTCCACCCACCCGTTCCACTCCTAAACGGATCGGCGAATCGGGAGCGAAAAATAAGCGATACCCGCTGAAACTCGATTTCACGTTTAGCCTATCAGCTTATCTCCTATTTTTATTTATTTCTATTATTTTTCGTCGTATCCGGTTGCTCTCTCCGAGTAACTAAGCAGTGCGATACTATCCGCTCCGCAATCATCGAAAAACGTAAGATGATCGATGAGTTCACAATTTAAAAATAATCCTTTATTTGACCAAAGAAACCTTCAACACAGGTTGGAACGAACTATACCGTCGAAGTTATATTCATATCTTATGATACGTGCCGTATGTTCTACGATCGCTAATTATTTGTAAACGTTCCCACGATGTTCCGTCAAACATTTCAGTCCGTTCTCGTGACAGGAATAGTACCCGCCTAAAATTTCTAACATCACTGTCTTCCGCAAGGACAGATGAGGAGTGGGCGCGACACAGAAAACGACAGCATCTCGAATGCAAGGTTAAATCGGTTGGTCGTTCGCGGGAATTTTTATCGATCGCGTATAAATAAGAAACACCAAGAAATAAAAATAACAGAATGACTAGAATTATTTCGAATATTTCGAACTGTCGAAGGCTTGTAGCTATAAAAATGTAAAAAAAAAAATTGGAAGAGGCTCGACGACCCCTTTGAAACCTATGAGTCGCGGGAGACTCGACGGAAACGTTTGGCGCCACCGTGTACGTTTGAATGGCCCGCGCGAGAAAATACCCGCTGATATCAGCGTGGACCAAGAATACACGCTGGTGGCCGCGATATCCCAGCCTTGCCGCGACTGGAGATCTTCGTATAATCGGTGGACCACGTGCCGGTGCTCTTCGACGTTTCAAGGTGGCGGTATCGAGGTACTTAGGTGTCCGCGCACGCTCCCAAGTGGTGGCAACCCACCTTCGTGTTCCTTCGCTGCGCAGGAGAAACAGAGACGACGAGATCGAACCGACGGCCAGTGCCTAGTTTACGAGCCACTAAAAATACGAGAACGAACGGCCTCGCCGCGACGCCGTCGACGACGACATTTTACTCTCCGGCGTTCCTCACGGACGTCTTCCCGCGAAGGGCGCTCGCGTGATTTCTCGCTTGACGCGGCTGACGAATACGTCGGCGTTGTCTGCAAGGTGTGCGTTAGCAACCTCGTTACAGAACTTTCCCATACCAGCTGGGAACTGTGTCAATGTCTCTCCGGCCAAATATGTTCAAGAATTGAATTGCAACGTTGTCGTACGTTTAATAAATAAATACATTTCCTAGACGGAGCGTTGACCGTTCGAGGAAGCGATCCGGAACGCTGTAGATGTTCGAGATGGTTCGAATTTCCTGGCTGATCTCGAGACGATTTTTTTATCGATCGAAGAGCATACCTGGAGTCGATAGTTTTATTTATACCGGAAGAAACATTCGAAGCATATCTTCATGGTCCCAGACCGTCGCTAAAGATAGCCACTCAATCGGTCGTATTTCTTGTCTCGCGTAGACGCGTGAGTCTGCGATTGTGTCGGTATTGGTGAGCTTCAAAGCGTGAACCAACGATTGGGGACAAAGCGTGGGTGTCCTGAGCTTGCGCTACCGCTCAGGTAAACCTGTGTGTGGTTCTGCGGACGCTGGTGTCGTTCCAGCACGTGCAGCGATCGCTATTCTCCGACGGAAACGCGCGCGAGCGAAACCTGTGGATCGTATATCTTTCGTTCAAGGATAAAAACGTTAACAGATCTAAGAAATTTCGATATTTCGTCGAGTCGCAACTGCCTGGTTTGTTGAATTTTCAATGGAAGTATGTCTCGTGTATCTCCACCGCAGATAAAGAATGGTATATTCACTCCTACTAACAGGCCGTTAAGCGATCTCAGAATGCGAAAGAAAATACTAGTTTATGATTTAAGTAGCAACGACATGCTCAAACAAACACGTCGGCCATCCACTGCTGAATAAACAACGTATAATAACGCGTACATATACACATGCGCGTATATACATATGGGTAACGCGATTTGTTGGCAGAGGATCAAGCGTGCTTATCGCTGAATTAGCAATTTTCTCATTCTGAGTTTTTCCTGGCAAGCTAATAATTAAATTACGTCTCGCCGCGCACAGGTGGTCGAGCGTCGTAGACACAACAAGATCGCTTCTAAAACGATGATTCGTCCGCTATTAAATAACCGAGTCGAAAATCCAGTTCGATACATCTTTGAATACATGGAAAATTTCGAGTTACGCGCGTCTAGTAAAACGGGATTGTTTATTAGTGGAAGGATACGCGTTGAAAAGTCATTTCGTGCCTGTCAAATTAAACATCTGTAAGTCAATGGGATGTATTTCTGTTACAACGACTTCTCATTTTAACAGGAGAAGGGGAAAGAAGCTCGTGTTGCGTTCGACAATGACGTTCGTTAGTTTTACCAAGAAACATAGTCCGAGGGTGAAATGTCTCAAATAAACTATACTTTAAACTGAACTTCAAAGACTGCTTCTAATAATAAGTTACAGCAATCGGAAGATAACCGTCCCGTTTGCGCGTCAGGGCGGTAATGGGGCGCAGCCGAAAGTCGGGGAGACTTTGCCTTAATTGATGGGGCGGAAAGAGCCCGTCTTTCGGGAAGCTCCGAACGAGGGAGCGCATCTGGAAATACCTACTCGAGAGGTCCGCGTCTTCCGGTGCGCGTCATGAATCTTTTATAATCGCTCTGCTCTCATAACGCAGTAAGACGAAACTTCCGTTTTCCCCTAAGTATCAAACGCTTATTATACGAGAGGCGTCCTTTCACGCGGATCATCTTAATTTAGTTTGAACGAAAGGAAACCTACGTTCGACATTTTAAAATCAGATTCGAGGAAACCCTTTTCCCAGTTGGAATATCATCGAAACGAGACACGAAGCAAGAAAAAGCTCAGTTCGCGGCGTGAAGAAGAGGCGAGGACACGGCGGCTGGAAATAGGTTCGACTCGCGAGCTCGTCGTCCGGGTCTTCTCGCGTCTAGCCTTCGTAAAGGCTCGTCCAGGTCTTTCGACGACTATTCGTCCTCGATCTCCTCGAAACAGGGCTTGCGTGTAGGATCGGCGTCGTCTCCAGGACGATGGTCTCTCTCGTGACGGCTGAGAACTGCGAGTGTGCAGGGTGGCCGAGGACGGTATGTTTTCAGGCGAGACGATAGCGAGATGCTCCGCGGCAAGAGCTAAAATAACTCGAACGTGTGCTAAAAGCGGCGGCTACCGGAGCGCCGGCCTTGCTAACAGCGCTTTCGAGTATTGCTCTTTCCTGCCGATCGACCAGATCCCGGCTGGCCGAGGGTTTCTCTAAAAATGCCCGAATAATAATCCACCGGCGAAGAAAGAGAGAAAGAGAGTGCGAGATTTGGCGTCCCTATCTCCTAGCGTACTATTTTTACGGGAGCCGCGTGAAAGAGCCACGAAAAGTTATCGCGAGTCCCACCGGTGTATTTTGAGAGTGTTCGTTACGTCATTGCGCGAAGAAGCGGCTACGAATCGTTGGGAAGTGGCGAACGAACGTAGCGCGAGGAACGCGAAACCTCGTTTCCCGAAAAAAAGCTGGGAGGTGGGAGCGACTCGGTGCATTCTCTGGGGATCGATCTCGATCGACGGGGTCGCGATCGATGCGCGGAGAAGAACGGGCGCGCGGACTCGTCGAGAGACGACATCGTTTCTTCCTGGCAAGGTTGTCTCCCGAGTTCTCAACGCGTCATCTTGGTTATTTCGTCGTTGGACTCTTACATCAGATGGTATTATGAAAACGTGATTCAGGGGTAAATCACGAGAAGAATGCGGCGACCGCGTCGGGAGAACAGGTTGTCAAGAGGGTTGCCCGTTGGCTTCGAAAGATCTAGCCCTTACTGGCCGATGCTACCGTTGCGTGTGCCACGTTGATCGTCATGCTCTAGTTTACCGTATTTCTGACACAGTGATTCTCAACGTTCGTTCGTCTTCGATCGTTCGATTCGACGATCTCGTCGATGAAATAGGGAGGGTGTCTAACCTAAGATAAATTTGTAAAATTGTAAAAAAGATTCGACGAAAGTTCCAATGATTTTGATGCAAATTGTATATCTGTAGCATAACTTCTTATCATCACGATTTTCAAGCGCAACGAGAGCGTCACCATTGCATCGATGAAATTAAATCAACGGCTGGCAACGCGTCTTGATATACCAAGACGCGACTAATTTGTGTACGAGTGCGTCACACCGGTGAGTCAGTGGCCGCTGCGTTTCCATTGAGGTAATCAAATCTGATCAACTTCTTAAGTTCCCAGCCACCAACCGAACCGTAACCTTATCTTCGACTCGAATCATTTGGTTGCTCCAGGGAAAATTCGCGCCTTCCTCTAGCGGGCAGCTCTTGCTTGCGAAAGTGCGATTTTAATCGATCTGAAGCAATTTTTTATTTCTTCGCTTTATATCCGACAGTTCGGTCAATTGTATCAATTATTACATTCTCGGAGTTGGTCGCGAAATCTTGCGTCTGACCAGAGACGGCTTGTCCTACTGAGCGGACTGAGTCCACTTGGCAAGAGGAGAGAATTTAATACCCGTTGTTAATTGTCATACGAACGCAATCCGTACGCATGACGCGCATGTTGCTAGCTGTATAATTTCTTACTTCGATGACGATATCTCTTCAGGAACCATTCGAAATTACGGCAGAAAGTTGCGTGAAAAAAGGAACGAATATGTCTCGGAGGTCTGCGAGCCCACGATCGATACGATCGATCTTTTTCCAATTTTAATCGAAACAAACGTGCACAGGACGTTAAGCCAGCGACTCGAACGGGTAACAGAAGCGTCAATCTTCTACCGCGAGATTTATTTATAACACGCACACGCGCGTCCCCGTCTTGGTACATTAAACCGTTCGCATATTGACGACTCACTTGTCGTCATTGCACGCAGAACGATCTCAATGACGAATCCCGTTCTGAAATTCTGGCTTTCATCGACACCCACTACAGCACGGCCACGGATTACATAATTCGCTGACACCGAAGAATAAGACCAGAAGAAGAACGACAGAGGGTACATGCGGCTTTTCGTGGCCGAGACAATTTTACCTATGGAGAAGAAAGTTCAACCCTTCCTCGAAAACGTTACTTTAAAAAAAAATATATCGATGGGAACGTAGGTGTATCGATCAGAATTTAAACGATAATTCTATCGTCATCGAGCGTTCACCACTGTAAAATGCGAATATATAAAATCTAATTCCAATCAAATTTTTTCCCGAGCAGATCACTTTCGATAATCGAGGTTCAGATTGTAATAGAGTCGCTGAACCTAGAGGAATGCAGGAGGCAGAAAAGAGGGAGAGAGTACGTGGTGCGAAGTACCCCGAAGAATTCGATGGCCAAACGAGAATCAAAAGGGCACGCTATAGACGAGTTACGTAAGGTTGAAGCTCTGCCACGTGTCGGCGGACGTAGCGTTGATTTTGTATTTTCTGAACCCACTTTCGTAACATAGTTGAACCGTATTTCCAAAAATTAGTAGTCATGAAAGTTCCTCGATCCAGAACACCGTTCCGAATAGACGTATCGAACGAAACGTTTCACCGCGTTAATCATTGGGGGGTTGCTCGTCGAATAAATTAAAATAATCCAACTTTCCAAAAATTATCTAATTCACCTGTTAGGAGCACGTGCAAGCGGGACACGTGCTCATAAATATATCTGACATTTCTTCGCTCTAGATACAGCGATTTCCCGAAATATCTTCCCGAATCCCTCGGAAGATAATATAGAACTGTTATACATTACTCGTTCAGAAGTTCACGTAGCGTTTCTTTCCAAAAATACATTGGAAGATGCTTTCGAAAAACCCTTATCCTTGAAAAGAATTATAACGCGCGAAGAAATAAAGGAGACTTTGAAGGTTACCAGCGGCAAAGCGATCACGATCACCGTTCGATTCCACCCCCGCTAAAAGAGGACCTTCCTCTGGCCGCTCTGGAGAAAATGTACGCCGCAAGGGAATCTACCGCGTAAGGGTGAAAATGTGACGGTCTCCTGGCGGACACTTACACCAATACACGGCAACAAAATCCTTCTCGTTGAGGAGCCGCTCGAGTTGCTTCGCGTTGACTTCCTCGATGACAGGTTCCGCGTCCTTGTGAGACCCTTTGCCACGCGGTTCGTCCGATTTCGTCTTTGCGACGGCGTCCACGGTGCCCAGGAGGGCGCATATCACCGAGAGTATACCGAGAAGAACGAACGTCTTCGAGTATCCCATCGGCATCGTTGACCTGCAGGTAGTACTCCTCCTTCGTCTCCGCCAGCACCACCACCACCGGCCGAACCGTACCGCCGAAACGTCGTTCGCCGTCGACATCGCCGCACTGACTGGCACACCGGCTATTTTTGATTTTTCGGACAGCGCCGCAACCACGACGGCCACGCCACCCGTCACGATCATCTCCACCGTTCTCGTGCGAGGACGTCGCCGTTTTCAGCTTCCTCGCGCCACCCCCTGGCGCGAGCGACCAGGAGGGCTTCGGGGGACATCCTAGGGGATGCTGCACCGACGGTTCCTTCGCTTCGATCCCACTCAAACATCTGGAAACTCTTGTACTCGACGTATCTCTCAAAAATAATCTCACGTTGCTGTTGCTCGCACATGTTAAAGACAAAAACGAGTTTACCATGGCACGATTGATGGCAACCCTCCGATGACGGTGTGGGGAGAGCTGCTTGGGAGAGCGGTTTTATCGATTTTACCGAGCTATGATATTCGATAAAAATATACAGGTTAGGGCAATAACTATTACCACGTCGGATATCTTCGAAACTATAAGTTCCATAGAAATATGTACTGAAATAAAATTAGCTCGCTATTACTCACGACGAACGATCGTTCGGACAATCTTTCGTCGCGAGTAATACCGATTACCAGTTCCCACCAGTGCTGAAAATGTTAATTCTGGTGTTATCTTATCGGTTAGGGAAATGTAATAAATACTACCTAAGGAAAGGAAAAGTTCAATTCTTGACTGATACTTTCACAAAAGTATCTTGCGATTAGATTATATTCAAACGAATTGTGAATTTTTTAACCTGCGATATCGTTTGTTACCTGTCGGAGAGAACGCAGAGGTTACCTGGCGTAAAATGGTGGTGGGGAGGATCTTGCAACGACTTAACGGTTGTGAATTGCAGCAATTCGAAGGGATTCACTGTAGTCGATCAGTGGCTTCGGTGCAACGCGGAATACCATGACGGACGCCGATCGAAAGTCGCGAGTTGCCATCGTAGGGGGTGGCTTGGTGCGTATTCGTTCTGAAACAGTTTCAAGGAAGAAAACAAAAATTCCAAATGTGTCATTTGCGCTTTTAAACGAGAATTTTGTATGCGATTGGTACCAAAAGTCGGCTTTTAGGTTGGTGCACTAGCGGCTTGTTTCTTCGCGAAGAAGGGCCACTCGGTGGTCGTGTACGAATACCGTACAGGTAAATATTCCAATGGTGATTTCTTGATCTTCGCGAATAAAAGCGTCGTCGTAGAGCGTCACACGCTTTTATTAGTACCAGAAGAAATGAAGAATAATCTTTTTTTAGATATTAGAGTGCAGGATTCCCATGGACAGAGCATCGACCTGGCTTTGTCGGCCAGAGGACGCGAAGCTTTAAGGGCAGTCGGCCTCGAACAGGCTGTGGTCGATCAGCATGGCATCCCTATGTATGGAAGAATGCTCCACAACAAAGACGGCACTCTGAAGGAAATTCTTTATGATAGCGTCAGGGGAAACGTAAGTGATAACAATTTTCTCGCTCCTTGTGACACAGAAAATGACATCGCAATTGTACTTTGACTTGCAGTGCATTTATTCGGTCAGCAGACGATATCTAAACGTGGTTTTGTTAAACGGTGAGTGAATTTTAAATTAATATTCTTCGCGACTTCGCAGTAGGTTATTTTAATACGGTTGCACTTCGCTTTGAAAGAACACGAACGAACGGAGACGCTTTGCAACTGAAAAAACCGCCGCGGAATATCCGATGACGCGGTAGTGCGTGAAGCCGCAAGAATTCTAGCGTATCAGATTCCTTGTCGATGCTGTCTTATGCTTCGGACAATCTTGCGGGTGAAACGCGTGTGGTATTGAAACGCGGTACACTTAGAATGAAAATATCGAAGTGTACCAAGTCTTAAGCAAAAGTGAAGGGGTTTAGGGTATAAGGGAGAAGAAGGGAAATGTACGGTTGTGAAGATTCTCGTCATTTAATTTGTAAAGTAGATAGCTAATCATGCATTGGTCGAATAGCCGCCGAGAAGTATCCGGAAGTGAATCTACGCTTCAACAAGAAACTGGTAGACGCGGATCTGGATAATGGAAAATTGAAAATCTTAGAGTAAGGTGTTTCTCATTCGAAGAATCCTTCGAGTTTACTCGTCGTTACGCGTCAGTTGAATTTCTAGTACGAAAACTGGAACCATCGAGGACGTGGAATCGGATTTGATCATCGGCGCGGACGGGGCGTATTCGACGATCAGGAGATTAATGACGAAGAGACCGCTTTTCGATTGCAGCCAGAAGTATATCGAGCACGGTTACGTTGAATTGTTCGTTCCTGCTGGGAAAGATAACAAGGTAAGATTTTACGTCGTGCACTCATGAATATTTTTGGATAGTAGGTATCAAGGTAATTATTTCTGTAGTGGACTGCGATAACACAAAATTGCGCTTTACCATTCACCCACTGACGTAAGCCGTGCCTGCTGTTCGAAAATAATTATATGTTTGTTTAAGTTTGCTATGAGTGGGAATCACCTTCACATCTGGCCAAGAGGCGAATTCATGATGATAGCTCTGCCTAACGACGACTGCACTTTTACCGGTAATATATTCGCGCCATTCGGGACCTTCGACAAGTTGAAGACACCGCAGGCTCTATTGAAATTCTACGAAGAACAGTTCCCTGATCTTCTGCGTATGATAGGCAGGGATAAGCTGGTGAATGATTATTTTAAAAGGGAGCCCAAGACGCTGATCTCTATTAAGGTGAAGCACTGAAGTAATTCTTAATTCCTCCAACGAAAAAACAACTATCGGTTATCAAGATGCGACTGCAGGGAAACCTATCGATTTAATTAATTAATCTCTCGCAATTGTGTCGCAGTGCAAACCATACCACGTTGGAAAAACTGCTCTACTTATCGGCGATGCTGCTCACGCTATGGTACCTTTTTACGCTCAAGGAATGAACGCTGTGAGTCGTGTTCAATCGATCGAAGGATTCCACATTCGCGAGCACGAGTTTCTAAAAAAAAAAAAATAATAATAATACGTCGTACAAATAGTTTTCTATTTTAATACTCGGATTCATCGTTGAACGTATCCAGGTCAAGTTACTTAGCTTCGGAACTTTAATCGCTCAACTTTTTTAACAAGGCATTTAATTTACCGAATGTTGGTAGCGTTGAAGTTATTCTCACTGTTTTTACGAGTACATTCATTCGATACCGTATAGTATGGATCGCGATAATCGTCTTTCGGATTCTAACGTATCGATTTCCATTAGGGATTCGAGGATCTTTTATTGTTAGACGAGCTGATGGAACGTTACGATTCAGACTTCGACAAGGTTCTTCCAAAGTTCTCCGAACTACGATGCGACGATGCCCACGCAATATGCGATCTTGCCATGTACAATTACGTGGAGGTAAATTCATTTCCCAAATTTCGCTCGTTCCCTATCTTTTACATTACGAAACTTTCAGATGAGAGATTTGGTGACCAGAAAGTTGTTTCTTCTTCGGAAACATTTGGACACGTTCCTTTACCGACGGATACCGAGCAAGTGGATACCTCTGTACAGTACCGTACACTTCTCGCGGATGAAATTCCGCGACTGCATTTCGAACAAGGAATGGCAAGACAAGGTAAATGAAAAAGAATACCTGTAATGAGAAAACATAACAATCGTAGAAATTGTTGAAAATTTACTGGAACAACAATTCTCTTCCCGCAGATATTACGTAGAATTGTTTGGTGTACAGCGCTTATAATTTTCGCAGTGTTGCTTATGCCCATTGCCGATAAGTACACATGGAAGAATGCGTTGTAATAGATATAAATGCGCAATCTCTAACCATATAGGATTTAGATAATACAGTATCAAGCGAAGAATATCTACTGCGGCGTGTAATCGTAATTTTACGTAATCGATCCTTTTGCTTGTGTAACTGTTCGCGATCTGTACTCTAAATCTGCGATATAAAATTGTAACCATACTTGAGCAAGTCTCGTATAAAGTCTCCGCCTCGAAATATCCTCTTTAACAGTCGAGTAATAATCGAATGATAAAATATGATTAAACTTGACACCTTAATGCTATCTGTTTTATATAAATTTCCTAGGCATCTTCACATTTCGATTAAACAATCGTCTTTCTACCTTCTCTCGAAAGTTTCCACAAAGATACACAGATTCGTCGCGTATCACTACTGCGTGGTAATCCGTATCACGATAACAACTCCAGGGTTACCGAATCGGCGTTCTCCACGTATTTGTGCTTGTGGCTCTCGAAAAGCTCGACCAAGCGATCTATGAATTTCTGGTGGTATTCGTCGACCTGTTCTGGAGTTGGTTCAGGTATCTTTGGCAACTCCAAGGGACTGCCGACTGAGGACAAAAAATAATCACGATGTGGCCATTAATCGATTTATAGCAGAAAACTATCAAAAATAAAAATAAGATCATTACCGACAACAGTGAGACGTTTTCGACGTGGGATGATACCAAAGGAATACTGAAAGAATCCTCGTCCTATCAGAAGGACCGGAGCTAGACCTATTTTCTTCCGAATGGAGTCCTGTGCTCTCCGCAGATACGAGTCCTTTGGCCTGTAAACCTGATCGTATACATCCGTTTCGCCGAACGAAAACACAGGTACGAGAGGTGTCCTAGGAATAATAATAAGTTAAGGGAAGGGAGAGAAGACTATTTTGTCATTCGTATCGTAAATTTTAATAATTCTAACCCATTCCTCAGCGCGATCTTCACGAAGCCTTTCCTTCTTTTCACGAGGATACGATAAGTGCCTGGTTTACATTCGAAAGTTTCCGACGCTCCACCGACGATTAAAACTGTTCCTCTTCCAGTGAATGGCGGTTCAGGCTTCGTCGATAGGAGATAGTTTAAACTTTCTGCGGTGCTGCTGACGCCACCTGCGTTCAAAATCAAATCGATCTGAATGATTAACAGCTGGAAAGTTGTGGTCGTCACGTACCGTTCATAGAAGCGTATTCGCGGAACAGAGGGATTCTGAAGTGTTGGTCCAGAATAATGACCCGGAAGTCCAGTCCAGGAAACATTTCCTTGCAGCCGAGACAATCCGTTCCGAAAGCACCGAAAGTTCCTATCGCTAGAATTCCATGGGGAAAGCTGCAGAACAAGTAGGACTTGTTCGGATCCAGATCAACGGTTTTCTCTAATTTGATGGGAAAATAGTTGCAAAAGTAACGGAGCCACGTGCACTTTCTCAGCCATCTCGTGTACCATTCCCTACGATAGAAGAAAGGACCGATTTCAATTCTAACAGCTCCAACGCGGCAACGCGATAACTATTCGAATCGTACGCACCTTCTACCGCCTCGATTACACGTGTCCCAGTCGTAATACATCCAGACGAAGTAGAGCAGAATGAAATACCGTAGAGTCTCCGTGCAGAAGAGGAGATAAGCGGTGATAGCATACCCGAAGAAATCCCCAAATGCAAAGAAAACGATCCATGTCGCTGCCGAAAGTGTCTCGAGTCTTCGTCTCAGGGACACGTTTAACGGCGCAAACTTCACGCCCAGGATTTCCATCTTTCTTTCGTGTCGTTCCCTTCGCTGTTTGGATTTAAGGCGTCATCAGAGTAATCCTTCTTGTACACCTGTTAACAATTTGCGACACCTGTCAAAAGTAACGTTTACCAACGATTTTCACAAGTGTATTTCTCGTGGAATGAACTCCTTTCGACAGTTCAACTATTATTCAAATGGCACAGCAATTATGGCGATATTAACGCGCGTTCGGTATCTTATCAGTCTTATATCTGGACTTGTTCGGAATCGTCGTTTTACGCGTGCTCATTGTATCATTGTGATGTCGACACCCCATCGATTGTTATTTATGAAAGACATTAACCTCGTGGTTTCCTTTAGAAAAATAGAGTTCTATGCTCCAAGGTTCTCGAGTGAATAGCTTAGCGTTCAAGGTTCACATTAAGCAGGCGTTGCGAAACGATTTCGATAACTTGCCACAAGTTTCAATCGTCAACTGTACAAGAAATACGAATCGCGCGGATCGTATGACTAACTTTGCGGAGATAAGTCTATTTGTATGTATTGCGAACATTCGTCGCGATGTACCTCTGGTCGAAACGTCTTTCCGTTGTGTCGACAGCGTTGAATCGGCGCGCCCTTACAACAATGCAAACGCATTATTTATAGAGGTGCATCGGGAGAAAAGGAAGAAATCGACGATCACACGTCGGAATAGCTCTTCGTTGATCGTTCTTCGTCATCATTCTTCTTCTTCTTCGCAAACTCTGCTGTTTAGATTACGTTAATCAAAATTCGTCACGATACGATTGGAATGCAATCACGATTTGATCGTAACCGTAACGTATTCATCCGTGCGATTACCGATTACTTTGGACTCGTAATCGCAACAGTGAAAGTGTGCTATATTTGGCCGAAAACTCGTGACTCCACTCATACAAATTGCATTTTTGCTTGTAGCAAGATCCACGATTGAACAATCCAAAATTCACGCCTGGTAGATGTCATTTAATTTATGCGAGTCAGAAAAACATCACCTTCGGAGGGTCTTCAGTTTCTCTTTGCGGAACAAATATTGACACGACAAAAAATACAAACTGATCGGCGATGACGCAAAAACTATACTTGCATTGTCAACAGACAAGTCAGCAACAAGTATCGGGTTTTAATGTTGAATGTATGGTCGCAACGGTATCCTGTTTAACTCTAGATCTATCGAATAAGAATTTCCTTTGAAGGATTTAATTTCATTTAAACTGAAGCCTTCTTTAAAATTGTAACGTGAGTTTAAAAAGGTGTGCTCCATGATCGGAGCGGTTCCCGCTCCGAAATTACCGAACCACTATCCACTTGTACACTAAGGAGGAAGCGATCACGCTGCGCAGAATTTTGTTGGCGGTAAGTGACCGGATGAATCTTTATCTGGACCGTTTCGAAACGGTCACCAAAATAGACATTTTCAGGTGATTCTCGTGCGCACGTTCTTCCGTAATTGTTACGCTTTCTTACCTGTTACACGGAGACTCTTGGCCATTTACGCAGCCGCCGAGCGCCTGGCTCGCTGTTTCTGCTTCGATCTCAATTCTTCGAGAATGTTTTCTCCTCTCGATCAACTGCGATCTAATTGGACCGATGAAACACCATCGTCGAATGAGAAATTCTCTGGAAACCAGCGAAATGCTTTGCTCGGCGTCACACTGCTTACTGATTCGGTGCCGCGGGAATGAAACAGGAAAGACTGCGAGCGTGAATGTCACGAATACACGTATACGTGCGTATGTACTACATGCGCCTATACACGTGGTTGAATCAATGATGAAGCGGCCTGCAAGCAGCGGCCCCCTTGGGAAACGATGGTGAGCGCTCGTTCGAAGGATTCACGTTTTTCTGGCGCCGGCACAAGGTGATCGGCAACCGATACCACCATAACTCAAAGTTGGCCACATGTGACCCTGAACGAGGAATAAGTATTTCGATCTTATTCGTGAGAAGCCGTTCACCCTGAGCCATGCAGCGTCCTTAGTTGTAAGATGGACCGTACGACATCATCGTTGGAATATCTTCAGGAGGCTGATATGCGATGTATGGAGTGCAAAATAGAAGCGCGTACAGAAATTGTTCTACGCTTCTTGTTCAAATAAAACGTTTATTGCTCGATCTATATAAAAAAGAAACAGAAAACAGATGAAAGGATGCGGTGTCAGCTGTTAGAGGCCGTGCATCGGCACGCGAGAGAAAAATATACTTCGATTAATTAGAATCTATACCATTGCGACAACAATTACAATGATTAACCGGTATATCGTTATACATACGTATACATACATAATGCACGTGTAGTTTCCGAAACTTCCGTCCTCGTTTCCCGCGAAACACGATCGTCGCGCCGACGTTCGCTTCTTGCTTATAAAAATGTTACTTATGTAAATATAAAAAAAAAAAGGAAACGGAAACATTTCCCTCTTTTCGTTACGATTTGTTCAGTAGTTCTTGAAGGAAGAGTAACGAGCGTACAAAATTTGCACGGTATCTTATAAACTCGCAATTAACACGATAACTATGATTTGCGCTATTTTAAGAGGTTGGTTACTCTCTTAAGAAAGACCGTTAATATTTGTTAAAACGCTTGTAGTTTGGTTTCAATCGCTTATATATTCTTCATATAAAATTCATTTCCAATATCGCCGTTCGGATTCAACACTTCGATACCACAATCGAAGCAAAATCAATTGGCCGTTCGCGACCACCCCCTCCCAAATATTTTTGCACAGAAAGGGAGGGTACGTTGGAGGAGATACACCCTCGATGGCTAAGTTGATTTTTGTTTCGACCCTGGTACGATTCGATCGATAAAATTTATTACCATATCGCGGTGCTTCTTAACAATTTCGTACTTCGGATATACAGGATGTTTTGTAACGAACAATTCCGAAGTGGGTGATTTTGAATGGAAAGGTAAAGCAAACGCGTACGAAGAAATACGGCTTTCTAAATTGTCTCTTTACTCTTTCATGCAGAATCGCCCTCCAACAAATCCCGATCAAAGCGGAAGCTCGCTCGAATTCCCACGAGAAAGCGTGTTGCGACACTCGCAGAGCTGTGTACGACGAGAAAAGTTCGGAAAGTAAACGTGATTTCGGGATCCTAAGGTAACAGGGACCGATCGAAACTACCGCCGCATATTGCTGCAAGCATTTCCCATTCGGTTCTGCCCTTTGCGATCGCGGTTCCCTAAATGCGGAGGAACCGCGTAGCGGTCGAATTGTTTCTCGAAGCCATAGGTAATCTTCTAAGCGTAAAGCCTAATGTTTTCAATCAGCCCATTTTAAAGTCCTAGCGTAGTCCATTAGTAATTTCTTCTTTCGACTACCTCGTACCGTTCCTATTTCTCTAGCAAACGTAACTCCGATCAGACGCGATGGAATGCGCGATTCGACTAGATTAGGACTTTAAAAAACGATAAAATCTTGGGCACCGTGGCGCCCACTCACATATTGTCACAATCTTCGCCTCGCCTATGACATCCACTAACGTTTTACTGTCTCACAACATCTCCCTCGTTAGATCGCACGAGCCCATTCAACATTAATTACACCGTCGCGACAAGGACAACGCCTAATCGTCGGAATTGCGCGCAATTCTCGTTAAGCTTCGCTTCCAAACGATCCCAATTACGTAGACTATTCGTTGTTTCCACAAAGGCATACAGAAAGACGGAAACTATAACAGGCAAACTTCTTCTGTTTTGTTTCGTCAATTTTTCGTATGCGACACCCGTTCTGGAGACGTGCGCGTCAATAACGACGAGAATGGTTGGACGATGTCTTGCGCGACGCTTCCCTACTTGCTAGAAACGATTGTCAGGGACGGACAGTGGGGTCGTTGAACGTAAAACGTTAAAATTTACGTGAGAAACGACGCGACGGGCGACTTTTACATTGTTCGTCGCGTCGAGTCTCTCGCATAGATTGGTCGAAAGTAAGTTCGTAGCCGAGACACGCGTCGATAGCGAATATTAAAAATAAATCGTCCAATTTGCCCGTTCGACGCATGGAGAAATAGGTTTTCTATTTTTATTAACGAAACGCTGCACGCTATCCGTACAATAAATATATATCTAACGTATCCTAACGCAACATCCATTCAACGCAATAAAAATGTAATAAAAAAATGTTGTTCAACGATAAAAGACGTAATCGAGCTAATCAGAAGTAACGTTACGTGGTTAATACGCATCTCCGACCGCAGTACGGCCAATTATTCCATTGCCTCGCGTCTGTTGGTCGACCAGTGAACGATCGAGTTGCTTCCGGTTCGTTACGCGTTAGAAGCTGGTCAGAGATGGAACACGAGTGACCTTGCGCGGTGTAACGATACAGGGAAAATGAAAGAAATGGGTTAATCGACGCCGGTTATATACATATATATCAACTTTGTTTTTCATCTTCAAACGCTAAAAATGCTTAACAACGAGTATAACGATTCTGTCTCCCGAAATATACATCGCGAGAAAGCTCTTAAGTTTATTGCTTCATCTAATCTAGAATTGAACCGCGAGTACGACCTCGGCACTCAGCTTTTAACGCCATAAGATTCCACTTATCCACGCGTCGATGACGAATCGATAGAGTGTCGCCGCTCTTCGCCTAGGTCCGCTAAAGATTAACGCTCCATTTAATCTCCTGTAATTCTTTTAGTACCGGTTACGTAATTCGTAACAGAGTACTCCAACGATAAAGCAGCTTGTCGGCCGCCAGACCATTCGTAATTCCCGTCGACGAACAACAGAACGAGAGGAACGTTGACACCTCGACTCGTTATCGATAAACGCGAACGTTTCCCGCGTACTTGTTAATCAGTTCTACGCGGCGAGTCGAATGACACAGTCCACGATTCACATGAAATCGCCGAAGCCGTAGCACCACGGAAGGAACCAGCCGTTCTACATCTTCCCCTTCTTGCCCGGGAGTTACACGTTCTACCGTTTTACATATCGAAAATACCGCGCCAGCTGGCGCTAATCATTTGTCAACGACGTTACATAATAAAATACGACGTACAATAATCAAATAGACGCTCTTCGCTGTATAACGATGGATAAGAAAATAACAGAATGCGATCGTCGGTTCGTATTAAGCCGTCATTCGCTTCGTTTCGTCGTCGACGCTCATCTCCACGCGGTCGTCTCTTCCGTTTTTACATTCCGTAACGATGAACAGCGTAATATTTACAAGAACACAGGTCGAAGCTCCCTATACCGACGGCAACACGACGACGAAAATACTGATTAATTGGTGTTTTGGCAATCGATACTCGCCTCGAGCGAATAAGAATTTTTTTTTTTTCCTTCTCCGCCAGTGTTTCCAGTTTCCTTGAATCGGCGGAGAATTTTGTTCTTTCTGTGAAACTGCGAGAGACGGATGGGCAGTGGTTTCTTGACTTTTTTCAGCGATCAGTTCGTAAAAAGTAGTCGCGCGAAGCACCGACGACGAGTTCTCTCTTCTGTTCGCGTTCCATCCATCGCGAGGCACTTCGGCAAAGCAACGGCGAGCTATCGTGGTGGCCCGAACGAACCATCCGATCGTGACGACGATCGTGTCCGAACGGCAGCCCTGTTTCTCGTCCAATTGGAGTCCAGAGTCGGTGGAACGAACGAAATGGGTATACGACGGTTAGTCGAGGAACACACGCGTGTACAACTGTACCAGCATCGCGTGGAACAGTCGATCCGACTTGGTCCTGACCAGCGATTCGCTGGCTGGGAACCGAATCTTGTTCGCGAGTTACGTGGACGTCGACGGACTGGTCGACATGACTGGTTCGGGTTGGTAATACCTCATGCCGTTTATCTGAAATATTCCGGTTCCCGTTTTTACATTTATTTTCTATTTTTTCTGATTCATAGCCGGTACCAACGCGAGAAATTACAAATACTCACCGTCATATCATATTCCGTGATGTAAGCAGGAATTTCCAACTGCTCCGGCGACATAACTTCGTAGAGGTACTCCACGCCGGGTAAACTGTGAACTTTCTGCTTGATAGCCGGAGCCATGAACGTCGTGAACCACCACGTCATCATCTGTAACATTTGACAAAAAAAAAAAAAAAAAATGAAAAGTGCCTGTTGATTTGCACTTTTCCACCTAATACTGTTTGCTCGACTCCGTTTCAGACACCCCGAACAACGCAAAATTAAGTTCGCACGATGATAATTATCCTATCGGTTCATCAAAGATACACGTTAAGCTTGTTGCCGCCAGTTACGAATATGCAAACTGACTCTCGGAAGGTCAAGAGATTCGATACGATCGCACGCGCGAATTGTGTATTCGCTCTGGAACATAAACGTGGGAAAAGCAGCTACGGCGTTTGCTTGGAATATTTCTGCGTCTTTAAATTGTATTTTATCGATGCTCGTAATCGGCGAGCAGCACGATTCGCTCGAAAGCATACTCAACGATGGACAATTACTCCTCCGGGGTATAATAATTTTGAGGATGAGCGCTAATCGGTACGTACCTTGGTCCAGAAAGTCGGATGGATAATGTAAAAGTGTTTGAGGTTCTTCTTATACCTGTAACAAAAATAGTTCAACTGTATTGACTCAGTCCGAAGATTGCAGACCGACTCGCGAGGAGTTTGCCGATTCACAAAAGTAATGGAATTTTTTTTTTCTTTTTTTTTTGGTAACAGAACTCGAGAGACAATGACGTAAGTTCTCTGAAAAATTTGCTTCGACCCGAGGCAATTTATCTGTCTGAAATTTCCATCGCTCTTGCATCATTTCCACGCATCTATAAATCTATATTCTCACGGTCACGGTGTCGTGTGACGCATATAAAAAGATAAGACGTCATTTAAATCTCTGTGAATGATCGTGCTCGTATCTATCTACGACAAAGCAAATCATCGTTGATAGCAATCAAAGCGAAGAAAGTACGTTTAATCTCGCACGTTCCGCGTGTTCTTTCTGAAATCGAGATACGACGGAAGTTAAGACGCGAAACTTTAGAGTCTTTCCTTACTTGTCATTTCATTTTTTCATTTGTACGGTGGTGGAAATCGTAGGCATTTAATTACCGTAGCAAGGGGAAACATTGTAACATGTAATAAAAGGGATTACGTCAAAAACGGAGTGGTCGTATACGCCCCAAAAAGGGGTGTGTTTCTAAAGTGGCTCGTCGAGATCTGTAATTTAAGGCGCGGCCTCGTTAGAGAAATGCATTTCTATTTCTGGTTCTCTCCTCGCGAGCTTTATAATTACCAATTACAGCGAGCATTGCGAATGAATTGTTGAAAGCGATCTGTATACATGAATGTTGGAAACGAAGAGTCGAGTCTCACTTGTAAGGAAGCACGTTGTAAACTTCGCGCAACCAGTGCAAGCTGGGGTAGTTGTTACTGGTCGTCAATGTATGGAAGTAAGCGATGACGTAGTCTCCTTTGACGATCGGGTCGAGCAACTGTATCAGGTACAGCAACGCCTGAAACAAAGGAAAGGGCATTATTGTTTAAACGATAATCGCGAGTATGACTTTGCTGAGTGTCGAAGCAAAGGGAACTCGTCTGTTCGTTTTAATCGATCGCATTGCTACAACTCGAATTGGCTCTTGGGTCCTCGTCCCTGGAGCGAGGAGATCGGGGAATTGTGGCGAAATCAGGTCGGAAGCCTCGCGAGAAGAGAAAAGGTAAAGTGGCGAAGGTAAAAGGGTGGTCGGCGACGGTCCAGTGCCTCGTAGACGCCAAGTTCAAGCGAAAACAGAAAGGTCTTTTCATTCGCTCGTTCGCGGCGGTATCGATTCGACGAGGTGGGTGTATCAAGGAATTTACTACTCTCTGTACTTTTTTTCTCCTTTCGGTCTCGCCGTGACGTCAAGAAGTCTGTGCGTCGGGGGTGTATTTTAATCCGACGTTATGGACCGAGCTATGTACGTAGTGTTCTATCAGGAAACATGCCAAATAATTCGGAGCAATATATTCTTTAGCCGATAGAATAACGAGGAACAATTTATAATTTTGATTCGTTGGTAAATTCGAAGGGAGTCGAACGATTTCCAATCGACGACGAGTTTGTTCGTTCAGCGCTGTCAGCACGAGAAATCTATTTAACGCGAGGCTGGTATTGTATACACACGCGCACGAGACTGACTTGCCACAAGAATAGAGCTTGATTGAACCAAACCCGAGGAACAAGTGAAGCAGTACATACCAAACTAAAAAAAACGTACATTCTTTGAAAAAATATACAACAGATGACCCATTCAATTTCGTTGCGTTGATTAAGAATGCAAGCATCGCAATATTCATGATGCAATATTTTGCAAAAGGTGATGTAACGATGTTGATTTTGCATGCACGAATGCAAATCGCTACGCAGTGCTCGGATCGAAAACGCGTTCTCATGATTTCGAGTCGGAGGTAACAAAAAGCAGTCGAAGATACGGAAGTTTTTCTATTAATTCGTTTGCCCAAAGCAGGAGAGAGGCGAACGTTCACGAACAGTGCTAACGAACGAAAGTCAACGCCTCTCTGTCTTGTCAAAGGAGAAGCTCGACATCGATGATTTAGCGATGGTATAAAATTAAGCTAGCGGTCGTGACGAGCTTCGAAATACATACAGTCGCTATCTGTACCGCGACCCTGAAAGCTCATTATCTCGTCGGGTCGTTTAATTAGCGTTTGTTGGCTGAACATAAGCAATTTCGGTGCACCGTTTAACAAATGGGATGCTGCACGTTGTCCACGTCACGAGCAACAATTCGAGCAATGTCTTCGTCGTTTCGTCACACGTGTTTTCGGCAGCAGCAGAGCAGAAGCTCCTACGACACGGTTGTAATTTTTATCTCGTTTCGCTTCAAGGCTCTGGAAGTAAAATTAGTACCTTGGGAAAATACAGGTATAGGTATAGGCTCGTTTAGAATTCCTCGTACTTTGTATTCTCGTGCGTGAAGATGTTACCGAGGCCACTGTTCGTGGTCGAAAACGTGAGTCGTTAATGTCGCGAATTCACACGTTTATTTTGCATACGGTCTTCGTTACTTTGTTTGTTTCTGTGAAGTGATTTGTCATTCGAAAATCCTTTGTTTTTAATCGTAAGAAGAATTCTAATTCTAATTCCATGCCATTGACGTAATAACCAATTTATTTTATTCTCATCGATTTTATCTTACAATGGTCGTTGAAACGTTAATGATGCTCGATGTGATACGATTGTTTGATAAGCCGTTGTGCCGCAGGTGGAGGACAATTTAATGCACGTTCCGATGCAAATATAGATATAAAATTGTCACGTACATAGTTGTATCGCTTGTCAAATCAGACCGCATTCGAGAAAATTAGTGCTTTAAAGTATACAGGAAAGATCTATCAGGGTTTGGTTTCGTAACAATAATTAATATCGAATCTCGCCAATTTTTAAGAGGTAATTTCTTTTTGTTTTGTAATATATTCAGTTACAAGAGATAATCGAGCGACCTGACTCGAGTGGAACATTTCGTTAAAAAAAAATCACGTTTATATTCTGCGTAAAAGAGTTGTCGATACCATGAACATCGGGATTTATCGAAACGCGATGTTATCGAAATAACGAATCGACGAGTAAGACCGGTTCCTCGTATCCTTTTCTCTTCGCCGAATCTGAACCGATAAACGTATGACCTGAAATTGCTCTCGCGAGGTCAGGGGAGAATGATCGAGCACGTCCTTGAATCGCGGACAGCGACCTACTTTTCACTCAAGAAATTGCTCACCAGCCATCTGTAACATCGTCCTTTCGATATCAGTGCACCCTATACGTGCTCTTTTATCGTGTTACTGGTCCTCGTGCGCTGAAATTGTCAGGTCGAGTCGAATACAATTTAACAGTGGAACTTTTATTCGTTACTCGACATTTTCATTTAGATGAGAATTTTTACCTAGGTCTGTGGAGAATTGGTGACTCGCTTTGATATCACGACTGTCGGTGCCGCAGCCGGTCGATCAACGACGAACAACGTCATCGACGAGATCGAGGCGTGATCGGGGCGAGGCCGACCAGGCGTTTTCATTTCGATCAGGGGGTGGCTATTTCCGGCGACGTCGTCGGAGTTTTTTCAAAGGACGCCACTCGCGGCGTAAAAAGGGTAGTCCGCGTAGGAACGACAACAAACTTTTCCAGGGCAAACCGACGGACTCGTGACAACGTTACAACTCGTGCGCCCTCGGCTTAGGGGTTGTTCAGTGGCCGGGCTATTTCTGGACGTGTAAATATCGATTCGCCACTGGTGGTGCGCTCGCCACCAGCGAGGAAAGAGGGCAGGAGAGAGGAAGGAGCGAAGATGACATCGACACGCAGGAATAAGAGGATCTTGCAGCCCCAGAGTTTGCGAGGACAACGGAATCGAGACGTCCCTGTGTTCAACAATTCAAAAGCATCGAGGTCGTGTGTTTATTTATTTGAACGTGCAAATAAGTCTGCAGGGGTAGCCATTCCTCTGAAAAAGATCGATGCCGCTCCGAAAAATTCGGAGCACAAAACGTGAAGCTCCGTGGATACACGGTGAACTTTGAACGTTACGTTCTGACGTCGCGTCGAGAGTCAACGTCGGTGATGCGGGATGATCATCCGAAGGGCTCCATATATCGCGGTGTGTTATGGTCAAATGATCAAGCGACGATCGCTACACTACACTGAGGAGGATTCCAGTCGAGACACCAAACAAACGACCAATAAATATTCGATTTACCGAATGAATAATTCCGACTCGCGAACCATTTCCGGTTTCGAACATGTCGCCTCGTCATTTTGAAATGTAGATTATTTTTACGACAGGTTTACGTCAACGTATCGACTCCCAATTCAATGTTACAATCACTCCAATCACTTTGTGATTTACTTAATTTTGATCACCAAACAGAATCAATGAATATTCGAATCGCAAAAAAATAAAAATTTAAATGACACTCGTGAATGAATGCCTCCACAAGCAGTGTGAATATCCGCTTTAAACGGAGCTTTCTACCTCGCCGCCGTTAAATATTTATAAGCAATTTCATTACCATCGAGCGTCCATATTTGATAAAGCGCCGTTCGCGTTGGTTTCTCTCGATTATGGTAGATCGCACGATAAATTCATTGATAACTTCGATTCAAGAATGACTCACGCTCGATTACACGCGACGGTATAGGCAACGTTCAGGAGCTACGACGAACGGTCAATTTCGTTCCAGAAAACCGAGCCAATTTCCTCTTTCTTCGAAGGTATGCTAAACGGATCGATCAGCTCGCGAAGAACTGCTAAACGTGCCAGTCCATAATAATAAAAAAAAAAAAAAGACGCGAGTACGCGCGCGTAATCCACAACACGTGTATCGATTTCAAACAAGCAACGGGCAAATTTCTTCGAATCTTTAACATCCTCTTCTCAAGACTTAGTTTTGCAAACCGTCTATTTCGAGATACGTTGTATACCAAACTGTTCGACAAACGTGCTTCAATTGTAATCTAAACAGACGTCGAACGTCTGTTTGGTTTCGAGAGATGCATAAATTTGAATCTTACCTTGTCCAAATTGATTTTAGTGGCGGGAAACCATTTGCCAACGAACACGACCACTGGCCGGCCTTGACGATCGACACCACTTTGATAGAGGCAACCGATCCCTGACACCTCGGATAGGTCCTCTGTCTTTGCTCTCCTCAGGAGCCTTTCGTACCTGAAACACGTGAATCACAAAAACCTCGATGAATCATGCTGTTCGCCGATTTATTGTCGCCTATTCGCTAGCAGATAGCATATCTATGTACAATTATCCACACTCTTGCTTAGGCATATTTACTTATTTATTTTTATTTTCGTTTGTTTACGACTTGATTCGTCATATTGGAAACGCAAAAGAAAAAGCCCTGTATATTTTCATGAATCTTTGAAATGAATTTTTTATCCATCTATTAAACGATACGGGACAGAAATTGTGCTTGAAACTTGGGCGTGGACATCCACGAACATTCCATTTGGATAAAATCAATGAAAGGACGTCTCACGCGCGCACCATGAAAATTCTACACATCAGGGTAGAGCCGGTATTATTTAAAATCCATTCGATGTACGCTTGAGCGCGGTTGATCGCTAAAGAAGCAGATTTCCCTGTTGGAACGAAGTTTCATCGGCGCTCTGATATCGACTTTCCGTCGTGTTTTTAACTTTTCTATCCGAGCAAAGTTCGTTCAAGGCCGTAACAGTGACCGCGCGTGAAACTATACGCACGCGAGCATATTATTTTTCAATCAGGCCTCCGCCGATACCGTCGACACGCTCTCATTTTTGCTATTGCGATCACCTTAACGCTTAAGAAGAAAAGACTGGATATCCTAGAGATGGGCAACACTTTGCTGCATTAGGCGGTGGTCGTCTCAACCGTTAGCTCTTAATATCGTTAATATAACAAACTTATTAATCATAGACTGGATACGCAACATACAATTTATCGTACTTTGCTTGTGGTCTGACCAATTTAAAAACCGGCCCTGAAGATAAGCGGCCGATTCTTTAATTATTACTCACACTCAAGTATATTGATATCTTGACAGTGATAACGTGACGCATCGCGTATGTTTATGCAAGTAACGAGAAAGAAACAATGGTGTGAGAAGAGAGAACGAGAAAGAGACATATTCGCAAACTTTTCGATGAAATCAATTTCAAAATTGATGGAATTAGTGGATACAAAGACCTCAGTATGTAGAAATGGGCAGAAATGTCACGCAGGTAAAAGATAAATAAATGTTTATGTTACTCGTTAAACAGTCGATAAAGTTTCGCTCATCTTTGCTCCAAAGTTCGTGAAAACAAAACAGTATTAGAGTTGCAAAGTAGTTTGGAACGCGGTGGAAATTTTTCATGGTGCACGGTCGAGTAACTCCACCGGAAAATAGTCGACGATGATTGCTCGAATATTCGACTCCAGAAAGTATTCGATTCACGTCTCGGGTTGGTGTATTTGTCGACGATTATCTCCTATCAATTTGTCAACATTTTTCTTCAACATGACAGATCACGTGGGCGGTCGTGAATTTGCGTACGAAATACATTTTAGTGTGTACATTTTTAGACGTCCGATTCAAAAGAAAAATAAAACTCAAGCTGCAGAGAATTACAATTACTTCGTCAGCTTAACCCCAAAGAGTCAATTCGAATATTTCAACGCGCACCGGGTGTAAGCGCAAAGTGACATCGATCAGCGAAAAAGCACCGACGAGCATATGCCGGCTGAACAGAGTAGCGTTTCCGACGTTGACAATAAATTGCTCGAAAAATCCGTTTCTTGGACCAACTCCATATCAGGACCAGCAAAGCGAAGGACGTAAAACAAAACTGGGCGTTGTACCAAAAAGTAACGTTCCCGCGTATCGACAAGCGCTTAAAGATCAAGAACCTTATGCTTAGCCGTTCCCTATGCGAGGACCGCAAAGTCCTCGAGATTTCCTGTATCGAAACAAAATCTAGAAGAGAGAGCGTCGGATGCCAAACATTTACGTAACGCGAGAGGATCAGAACAGACACTAGATCCAAAGGACGAGACAGGACGAGCGAACGAACCGAACGCGAAACAGTATTGATATACGCACCGGTCCTCGTCTTCGATGACGTCCACCATGTCGATCATGACCATTCTGACGGTGTGCAACTTTCGGTTGCGAAAACGAACACCGCGGACCGCGGGAGTGTAATCTCTTCGGAACGAAACTATGACTCTCTGCTTTTACTTGTTCCTTCGATCGAGCGAGTAGTCCTCGCAAGTGACATCACAGTCTATACATCCAGCGAGATATACTCGATGACAGGAATTCAGGGGGCGACTGTTCGTTCACACGACGGGAAGATTTTGAATTCACGAGGTTGAGAAATTCGTTTTCGACGCACCACGAATCGCTAAGGACGGGAACGCACGTATCTCGACTGGAAGACGAAGAACGGTCCGTCGCGACGAGCATTCGCGAGCAACCGCAACACACTGAGCCGCTTGAGCGAGGAAGACGAGGCTATGAGGCGCGGACAAACGACGTCGGGACGACGCCGCGTCTTCGTCGGCTTCGTGGGCGCGCGCCTCCGCTCTGGCTGCGTCACGGCGCCTGCTCGCTCAGGGTACTACGTGTTCGATGAGTAAAAACCCATCCGGGAAGGGGTAGGGAGCAGGGGCGCGATTTGCAGGCCGGTTATTACGTACGATTCTCTAGGCGTCGAGTAATTGCGGGAAGAGAATATCGTTCGGTCGCCGTAAAAGGATCGATAGAGGGTGCCGAGTCACGACGACCACGTGAAATTTTCGCCATGAAATTACGAGGATCGATACTGGAAAACGGGGTGCGCGTTGCACCCTGAAATATATGTTTACTTTTGTGAGTTTCGTTGAAATATTTTCAAGCTTCCTTCTAATCAAGCCTGGAGAACACCCTTCCGGTTCGCGATTTCGAAAAACGACTGAAACTGACCAGCGTAGCCAGGTTTATTTTTCTTCTAGGCGAATACCGTACACAATAGTGATTGCATCTGATATAGAAAACTGCAAGATCTCGATACACAAGTGACAAATTCTGCGATCATGTAAATTACCTTTTTATACAGCAATCGTTTCATACCGACTTCCGAGCTTCAATCGAAGAATCAATGTATAATGCATAATACTTTTTTTTTTCATGAAGAAAAATGCGTTCTTAAAGTGGGAAGTACGTGGGTTGTACTTATGCAAATTTTGAAAAAGTTGTTATCGGCAATGCTTGAGCAAAAAGTTTATGCAGAAACGTTAGTGTTGCGGTATTCTAGCTTAGAGGACTTATTTCTCTCTCTTTTTAAGAAGGCTGACTAAATCGAATCGATTAAAAAATCAATTCAAGCTGAACACACGGACTATTTAATTACACGTGTACTAAATGTGTGCAAGGACATAATGGAAGTACAAGAGCGTAACTAAGAACCTGCGTAATTAGAAACCGCGTAACTCGAGGACTCGTTATGCATTTCTGACTCGGAATTCTCTGAATCGTTGTCGGACTGCGTGGTACACATTTCATGCAAGAATATTCAGAAATGTGGCTATTTTTAAACCGAGCCACGCGTTTAATTTCACGGCGTTGACTAATCACGGAAATATTGTTTCTATATCCGCGAAAGGATAGATAAGTATATTTTGATTTCGTCGAATTACAATACGAAAATGTACAATCGAATACGAGAATAATTTAGGAATACCTATCACTCGGTAACTGATCGATACACAACTACTAACTCGAATGACATATAGCAATGCCACGACAGAAATGTCGTCTAGATATTTAAAGAGAATCGATGCGAGATTAGGTAATCTTTTGGTAAAGTTTAGAGTTCTGGCTGGGTGATGTGTTCCAGTTTCACGTGGAATGTATTGTTTCGATAGCTTCATACTAAATTCTGTCACGCTTTCTCAATTCTGTGTCAGTTCGTTTTGTTCTATTGTCGTACCAACGTGACTACCAGTCAATTGTCGTCGACGATTATTATTCTGCGTTATCACGGTGCCATCGAAACCACGCAATTCTGACTACCAAGAAACGTTCAAAGATACTGGAATTTATACGTTGTTACTGTTTTACTAATCGATTTGCTTTTTTTATTATCACGAGGTCAAGCTACTGTTTTCCCGTATTTATTATCGATGTAATGGAATAGAAAGGGGGTTTTAAACAAATATCAATACGTACTGTTCGAAGTGCTTTGTGTCGGAAACGATAAAGTAGGTATGAAGCAATAAAAATAGTAATTTTCAGAATCGTTACTTTAATCGCGAGCATACGTCAAACCTCGAACGTCGTGTGTTCCATCGTATCCATGATTTCACAACCGTGGCCTTCATTAGAGCGGATTCAAGGCACTCCTTTGACGAAATAACTAACTTGGAACAGTAGTTCGTTGAAATCGTGAATTTAAGACGCGCCTCGAGTCCACTCCGAAACGAAATGGCTTTCTAATGTTTATTGATGAACACGTTTAGTGTTTCTATCGCGGTATCGTAAAGGTCGATGTCTCGGAATATGTAGAATTGTTCGAATCGACCCCGTGTAATTGCCTAGCGTCCACTTTTAGCGCGAAGTATATGAGGAAACTCGTGGTTAAACGGCGCCAGATGCTTCCGTCATCAGCAGATGTCAAAACTAATGTTTACTGGAGCTTTTGCGTGAAACAAACGACGAACATCCGGTGCGAGCGACGTACGAACATTTTGAAAAACGGCTCGTTGCAAGTGGAAATCACAGCCATTTGTCCTGTGGGCGTATCGTTTCTCTCTAGGTTGAACAAACAAACCAATCATAGAAACTGTTCCTTAAATTTCGCTCTGACTTCATCGCTATAAAACGCTTCGGCGTAGAAAATTCTCGATAAACCACGCGCTTATCATCTCTAACATAACAAGTCACGATTAACGCGTATGCTTTCGTACATTTGGCACCCGAGAAGTTCTGAACTGGGTTCAGCGAAATATTATTGCGAAGTGCTTTACTATCATTGATAGAATCTATTTTGTTATGAGACATTGGGTCGTTATAGTTTATTTTTGTTCGCGTTGCGCTATTTTCGAGACATGTAGACGAGCCACGAGCGTCGAAAGGTTACGAGGTCATTTCGATCGATGACATTACAGATGAGGTCTCTCTATATAAAGGTGAGCAATAGATTATCTGATTCATAGAAGAATTATGTAAATGAAATTCTGTTAAAGAAAAGAAATGTAAAATACGTAATGTCCAAAGCAATAATAGCGTTTGAATATGTGCGCAATTCACGTATTAAGCATTACGACGACGTTTGAACGGTTTATTGCGATGCACTTCGAGTTACAAACAGACCTATTACAAGAAAAAACGTGGCCATCATAAAGTACTCGTAAGGAAAATAGTTTTTTATATCTTTTTCCACGAATCCTTGAGATTTACGTTAATGAATTCGATTAGTTTAGGAAGTAACACCTAAATTCTTGAGAACATATCAAGTTCCCTAAATTCATTGAATTCCTGACACACATCTCAGGAATTTGTTGGAAAAACATTGTAATATTTATTTCCTCGTCGGCAGTCTACAGTGATCGCGTTATTGTTTGCGCAGGATGTGTTTTTATATTCTGGGGAAGATCATGATAAACGCGATGGATTCAAAATGGAATACGACTACAGCGCTACATCCCATGGGAGTCGGTATGTTTACGAACTGATGTATCGACACTGAACATTTGTGGTCACGTAGCGCCCTCTGCGTTTAAGAGAGGTGACTCGAGCAGCCATGTTTGACACAACCACCGAACCGAGCAGTTACGAAATCCAGAAACGTGTCCTGCGTTGTTGTATTAACGATAATATCGATCCAAGTTTAGCAACATTTACACATTTTACACTAACAAGTTACTTTGAGTTTACTTAATCATAACACAGCTATATTTGCTTCAATGCGTGTACTTTAAGTTTCTCGTTTTTCCTGTTACAGGTCGCCGATTGAAATTTGTGTCCCGCCAGCACCGCCATGAAAGTTGACGACCAATTCGAATGAAGTTTCAGAAGGTTAAGTATCTTTCAACTTGAATATTTATACAAATCGAGTCGCATATCAAGAGACGATTCATTCATTAATCGTACAAGTATTTCTACCGCACAAGTCGTGGAACATATTTTTCCATTGATGCTAGTTTTATTCCATATCTCGTTTAAGCTCGATCTCGTTCGAGTTCAGAAGTATCAGGGCATAGTATTAATAAATTTCGTTCCTGTTTTCACTGTTTAACGATACACGTTACATGTATCATGAAATTAGTAAGCCAGCGTGTCCTTCGTGGACAAAACAGCGCGTAGATTCCGATATAGACGTTTGGATACAAAAATAGCATCGTTCGTGATTGAATAGATAGAAATAGCGGTATGACGTACAAGAACGATGACGATTTCGAAAGAACTGGCATTGATCGCATTGTATGAATGAATGTTCGTGTATTTCACGAATCGTTCGTTTAAGATTAGAATTTAATGGAAGCAGAAAAAATAAAATTAGAATAGTACCTTTCTTTCTGCTGCATTTGTTTCAACATGATATCCGCCAGAGGATCGGCAGGGGGCCTTTCCCCAAGTAATCTTTGTCGGTCGAGGTCACCCTGCATCTGTGCGAACGCGTGTTCGCCGATATTCACAGATGTTTCTAATTGAGTGGATAGCTCTACGCTTTCGTCACCTGAAAAATTGTGGAAACATACAGTTACGTAGATTTCTCTTTGCAACAGAAAAAGACATTAACTCCGGCTTATATACCGGTATAATTACCGTGTAAAGCATGTTGAGGATTGTCGATGATTCTAATTTGTCGGTCGGGAAGCAGAGGTTCCCCATCCATTCCACCAATGTCGTTTGGCAACTGCCAACAAGCATTATCTTGCTCTGCTAAATTCCTAGGGAAATAAAGGGGAAGTAAAACTTCGTAAATTCCAAGATCGCACGGCTCGAGAACAAATACGATGCATGTAATCGAATCGCCATATTGCTCCAAGAATCTTCTTATCGTTCCTATAAAGCAGAGTATCGAAAGTTATTGTTGAATGTACGTGAAGAAAATTTGAAACCTAATATCAATTTAGAATGGTTAATACTTACTGAGAGCAATATGTGCTCCTGCATCAGGAGGATAATTTCTGCGTACGGAATTAATTACCGGCAACGCGATTGTACGTAATCCAAGTTCTCTTGCTTTTTGTAAAACATTTCTGTAACATACGATGGGGCAACGTATTTAATAGTGTTCATGTAAACAATGCATACTTTGATAAAGAATTTACCTGTAGCAACAATGCAATGTATTTTGGGCTGCTGTTTGGTACTTTACATTGTATACAGGTCCCACAGTGTGGATAATAAAACGTGCAGGTAGTCCATGTCCTTGGGTCAGTCTTATCTCACCAGTTTTGCATTCTGCAAATTAATAGTAGGATAAAGTAAATATACATACTAGGTCCAATCTTAGCTCACCTTTTACTTCATTAAATATTTCCATGTTAAGGGCTGAGCCAGCCCTAGCAAATATTCTTTGGCACATGGGACCATTGTCATCCATAGTTTCATTGGTAGAATTTACTACGGCATCCACTTGTAAAACAGAAATATCGTCGGTCCTGAAACAAAATGCTGTTATAAGACTTTGTAAAGCAATGGAATATAACGTTAACTACTTTATTTTTACCATAACGCAAGTTTGTTGTTAAGTGCCGGTTGGCACGGAAAGGGACTTATGGTATGATGCGATGGTTCTCCAATGGAATTGGAGTAATCTGTAAATCTGTGCTGAATGGGATAATCGGACCATCTTTTCAATGCGCCCGTCTCCACCACGTCCGGCGTGACACCCAAAGGTTCCATGAGCCTCATTCAGCTGTAACAAAAGTTGCATGTAATTCGTAATTCGGTAATCATTATCAAGGATGTTTTCCAAAATTCTTTATTTACAAACTGAACTATCTGCCCTGCTCCGAAAATTCTAACCTCAAAAAATCTAACCTTTAATATTATTTTAAGCGAGCTTCCCATGAGTCTCTCAACGTATTCAGAAAAACTTTTTACTTTGTTTTCTTATTATTCTGCTACCAAATCAGTTCGTGAATGGCAAATTAATTCTTTCATTCTCTCACGCGATATATTACAATGACAGCTCGCGCGCAGGCGCAGAGCGGCGTTAAAGAGCCGCGAACTTTAAACTGTATCGAGAGTGCCACGTGTTCTGCCATTCTGACAAAACAGCCGTAGATACGCGTGCGTCGTACATTCGAAATTAGACGACACGAGGAAATCGTGAGAGTGATACGCGTAAGAAGACAGGGTTCGCGAATTTTTAGTATATCGTAACCATAAAACGATAAAAGAGATCAAGGTGAGCGAAACTGCTGCGAGGGCCGGGGACGACACAGTCGCTGACGCGAGCTATCTCCGATATCGCGAAAACCTAAAAATAAACAATTCTATCGATGAAAATCTGGGGCGCACCCCGGGCTAACGTGAAACCTTCCGTCCAAGGACGTAACCCCGATATCGGGAGTTTCGAAAAACAACGTAATTCATTGAAGATCGCGTCGTTCTGCGCGCGTGCAGTCACGTGCCGCGCGTTAACGTTCGCTTGTGTGCGAATCACATGCAAAGGACCTGCGTCAGTGCCGTGTAGAATGTAGGCTTCCCTAATGGCAAGGAGACAGAGCTTGGCGCCGTCTGTCCTGCCTCGAAACTTATGTCCTGGCAACCCCATAAAGAAGAGGATCGTCGACCCCCACGCGTTAGTAGGTCCCTGCAATCCTTTTAAACGGCGAATCTATTCAACCACCTGAGGTTTCAGGCGTCGGTATTGGCAGCCGAGGGGGGATTACGTCGATCCATTTGTCGGTTGTTCGCGATAAAACCGACAACGCTTCGGGAGCCGTCAATTTTTTTCTGAAATGCCGTTCGAACATCGATTTTACGCGAACAAAGACGACAATACGAACGGTCCTCACCAAATCGAGCGTTTATTTCAACTTTTTTCCATTACGTTTGAGATCTCTTCTCTTGAACTTTGAGCCACGAACGTTTATGTAATAGATGCGAAAAACAGGCCTAAGAAAATAGAGATAGCGGGAAACGAAGACACAAACGACTGCTAGGCAAACCTGTTATTTCAGTAGACAAACTTACATCTACAAAAATGCGGAAAATTACAGTAATAGCAATAAACTAGTGCGGTCTTCGGACCGTAGGCCTTGAAAAATGTGGCACGGGATACTCATCGATCGTATAAATGAATTCTAATGTTTACCCAACAAAGTCCTTACTACAGTCGCGTGTGAGGATCGCATCCGGAGTAATCGATTTTGAAAGGAAATATTGCCTGCGAAGAACTTAAGTGTCGTATCGCGTCAGGGTCACATGTTCAGTGCATTCGCAAAATCTTGTATCGCTCAACGGCACGACTCGGTTACAAAATTCTATAGTAGAAGGTTCACTTAAGAGAACGAAGTTGGTTTTCTTCTATTATTCGAAATAGCAAAGGTAGTATGCCCGTTTCTACAGAGTTATTTTCATAATTAAAATAACTTTATACAATCGCACTACCGCAGAACAATTTCAAGCTTCGTTCATCTCAAAAGGGCAATGTTTTGGTCTATTCCAAGCACAAAGCTGAAAGCGGTCAATTTAATCGACTGTAAAGGGCCCGTATCTCCACTTTCGACAAAACTGTCCTTGAAGTTGAACTCGACATCTTGCGCCTCAGCTATAGCCTCGAACACGAGAGCGATCTTCGAACGGTCTACATACCTATACAAACTCTGAACCTATCAATCACGATAGAACAGAAGTTCTGGGAGAAATTGCACTTCTCGCGAGCGCTCCGCGACCAACTTTGAGTGCTGTTTCTTTCGTTTTTCCATTTTTCATGATTCGACGCAGTATCGAACGATCGTCTCGAACAAACTATCAAACTAGAGTCGCGTTAGGCTGTCTAGAAAAGTTCTCGTTTCGTTCGGAAACTCGCCATCGAAGATCCGTCGTGTCGTTTTCTGAAACCTATTTTTACGAGTTTCGCGGAACAAACCTTGGAACAAAATTCGCAAACGTTTTCCTTGTATACATACCGCACTCCTTGGAGGCTAAACAGACTTTGGACATTCTCCTGATTACCCCTTAAAGCGCAAATGCACAGCAAAACGAGATAAATTGGATAGGAAGGATTAGCACGTCGCCACTATACTCTTCTCCTCGACGCGTTCGTTTTCGTAATTGTCACTGTTTCGAGTGGACCAAGGAAGAATCGGCCACGAAAACTGTCACAGGCCCGGGCTACACAGCTACTGAAACGAAGCCGACTCTCATTTCCCACGTCGACGAAACCGAGCTTTCCGACGGGAGCTTTGTTTCATCTGCTCATCCGTCCAGAACCCCAGCCGCCTTTCTATTAAACAACAAACGACCTGACACACGGCTCACCGGTCAATCGATGTTCCACATTCGAGCAAGGTGAACATTTGCGAGGTAACTTCGTGTCCCGTTTCCCCTCTCCAAACGCGGGTCTTCCGAGCGAATACTCCTTCACAGGGAGAAAACCGAATTCCACCCCGCGGACAAAGAGACTGGAATCATCGTCGTCGTGTATTCGCGTACCATTTCACGATATTTTTCTCGGGAAAACAACGCGTAACTGAACTCTGCGCTTTTCAATATTCTTTAGGACGTGGAACTCCAGTTGGAAGTAGAAATACAACCTTTCTTAGTTCCCTAGTCTCCTTTCGGAGGCCTCGAAGCATCTTTGTTCGAGGCTTTCCACTTGGTTCTCGATATCATGAAACACGAAAATAAACGAATCTCCTCGAGAATGCGCGTTTACGCAGGTCTTCGTTAATCACGATGTGCATAGTTGTCTCATTCATATTCCTCGTTGGACAAACATTAAACGAGCCGTTACTCGCATGCATCTGCGCTCACAAATACTTGGACGTGTCTTCATCGCACTAACAATTTCTTCGAAATGTATAAATTGCCTTTGGCGATACGCCGAGTATCGCTATTTACCGCGCATCCGATTTCAGCGGAAAATTAAGATTCTTCTATCCTATCCACACGTCTGTTTACAGCGTAGTTTACTGTCTCCATCGTACGTCGTGGTTAGATGAAATAAAGGGCATCGGTGATCGATGTTACAAGGGTAGTTTAACCCTTCATCGCTGCAAGTACACGTCAATGAACAAACGTTATAATATAACGCAGTACTTTATAACTTTGATTGCATGTTAATGTGTACGTTCTCCACCACACGAGAAATCACGACGTTCGACGTTGTTACTTTTTCAACATTATAAGGGAAACATACACGTAAAGATAGTATAGCAAAAGTCGCAATGCGAAGTTCTAAACAACGGCTATCGTGAATCATTAATATACTGTGTGAAGTGAAGAATGTTGTAAAAGAAAAATACATAGGCACCGATGGCTCGCGTGTTCATACGGCTAATGGAATCAAATATTTTGTTTGTTACAGGAGACGATGAACGATCGTCGACCATGTTTGCTCGAAAGACGGCCCCTCGCCTTTCAAGGAAGATAAATCTTTGAAAACTTTACGAGTCGTTTTTGCGACTGAAGATTCCAGGAGACACTTGGATTGGTACGCTCATAATTTGTATACTTTGCAAACGATGGAGTTTCCATTCTACGATTAGAGAGTCTCTCGAGATCTCCATGCGTCCGTTTGCATAACCCAATTGGTTACGACACGTTGTCTGAGAAGCCATGTCTGATATACTGTTCATTTGTAAGAAAGTGGTGAATACGGGCAACGTGACCGTTGCATATAGTTTAAAAAGTTCCTGTAAAAATGTAGATACCGCTCGAGAAGAACGTAACACTAATTTGCACCCCCTACTCAAATCAGTCCAAACTAAATTCCTGTTGAAAGCTAACTCCGCAGGAAAATTACTATAAATGCAAGGATGACAACGTGGCTTTCCTAATATAGTAAATATAAATTATAAATGCAAATTTGGTCATTTAAAGATCTCGTTAAAGGGAAGAAAAAATTGTCTTTAAACGTTTGCATGGAAATTAACTGCTCAAAGATATCAGCGTTGTAATTAGTAAACCAGTCTTCATACGATTCTACGTATGATTTTTTATACGATTAACTCATACCACACGTAACACGCAACGCTTCTCGTAACAAGTATTCGGAATTATCGCAATTCATTTAAATGCAGGCTTGCACGTGTGACAGGTGACGTTTACAAGCGCAACAAATCAAATAAGCAGAGCTGAATATGTAAACTACGCGTAGCTTTACAATATACTGCTTATTTATATAGATTACAATATCTCTGAAATAATTAATCTCCATCCATAAGTTTAATAGATCATTTTTTTCTTCTTTAACGAGTTTTATGTAAAGTTTGTACTTGTAATTCGTAGCTATCTTGTATAATGTACACGAGTCACGATTTCTCTCGAAGATCGATAACACGCACACTGTGCGTCGCGTCTCATTTCAATGTCAATACGAAGAATTACAGATTGCAGAGCGACCTAACGGCAGCACGAAATCGGCTACGGGACAGCTTGAGTCGCGGTGTCGAGGAGTGATGACCCATCGGCGACCCACAACGGGGATGATCGAACGCGTTAGGTGCGGTAGAGACGAATGCACCGAGGGAAGCCTTTCCGATATGCGGCGTTCTGTAACGCGGGGCTTCCAAACAAATCCTTTGTGACCGGCTTGTGGCCGTCGATGAAGCGAAAACAGCTGGCTCGGAGAAAAAAATGAAGGGGAAAGAGGATCTTCCGATTCTGCTCCACTCGACCTATTAATTACGTTATAGAAACTTGGCCGGAATAATATGGCAGAGTTTCTCGAACGAGATGGGAGGGAGGGGGATATTGAAAAATGGGGTTAAAACGCAAAGTTGACGATCTTTGGTCGACGGTATCGATGACTTTGCGGTCGTTGACGCGGATATCGCGTGTTTTCGCGAGCGAGAATTAAGAACTGTTGACGCGGTACCGCGTTCTTTCGCGAACAAAAGTTGAGGGCTCTTGACACGGAACCGCGTCTTTTCATTAGACGCTAAGAGCCCTGGTGGTACGTCTTTTGTCGAGGACTCGAGATCTTATCGGTCGAGTGTCCTACGTCGCCAGTTGATTATGAGCCATGATTGCTAACGTCACACAATGGGACGAGTTAGAAAAGCAAGATATGGACGAAAATTTAAATTACAAATTTTTTCGTCCGTTCACGTCCGAGACCCTAATTGAATGTTTCGAAACAAGTATTCGTAGAATTACAGAATTTTCCCCATTACGTCGATGAAAATTTCCAAAGACGCATCGGTAAAGACCATTTGGAGAATCGACGACGATTACCAATCGTCGGGTTATCTCTTTAAGGTATGGCGTACATAGGTAGACAATAACGAGTGTTGATTCATTCCTTGTTCATTTGCACTTCGATAAGGACGAACCGCACATCTCATTCGACGTCTACGCGGTCGCGTTTTATCGATACGCGGGGGAGTATGCGAGCCTTTATTGGTCTCCGCGCGGAAATTGTTTCGAACAAAGCGCTTTTGAGTGACACTTGTGCAACTTTTACGCTATCGGGCTGCGTCACGGTTTTTATTACCAGTAATTAGTACCGAGGGAAATTTATACGGCGGAAAATCTCACGATGGCGCGCAGGACAATTTCATTGGTGGTATTAATTACCAGCGAAACGAATACACGGCTACAGAGGATACGTGGAGTTCCGTCTCTGATAAAGCGAGGTTCCAGTTCCTGGTCCATGGGGAAAGTTGTTAAACAACCGTCGCTGCATAGAATTTTTCATTGCCCCGTGGCAATTAACGCAGTGACGTAAAAAGGTCGGCAGTTGTTGAACGAGTGATCTAGGTCACACTTGCCTGGAATCTTTTAAACAATTCGCGGATTCCTGGGTAATGACAGGAAAACGTAAAAAAACACTGAAAAAATCGACACGCGATAGAAATTTGAATCAAAGTCAACGATCGTTCCAACAATCTACTTCAACGATGTACAAAATAAGCGTCTAGCGTAGCGCACTGAGTAAATGGTGAGTCAGTAAATGACGCAGCGGAGTATATAATCCACGGTGTCGTGTTAATTAAACCCAAGTGCTTGGGATCGATCGTTAATAAAATATTAGTCGAATGCATGGTGTAATATCCGCGCGGACAATGTAGACGCGCCGTTTGGGACTATCGAAAGTTAAATCGGAAAACTTTGGAACTCACGAGCGCGTGTTTTAGCGAATTTACGAATTCGCCGCTCCAATATGCTCGTTGATTGAACGACGTCAAATTATACGAGAGCTCGAAACAATTGACGTTTATTTTGAGAAACGCGGGAATTATTCTCAATTAAGCTCCAACCCGTACACCCAGCAGTTAATTTTTATGCCGGGAATTTTTCCCTCTAAACGCAATTACAACGATGCGCTGCTGCGAATGTATTTTGCATACTTAGCGTCGCGATTATTGTTCGCATCTCGTTGTACTTAGCGAAGTTAAGAACGCACACCTATCGTAAAGTATATCCCACGAGAATCTGGCCAGACAAAAATATTGCAAATATTTACAACATCGTGTAACCCAATAAGAATTTTAGAAACGTTAACAACGTCTGGCGGCTTGCGATCTCAACGCGAGGATGATAATAATTCTATGTGGACATTCTTATCCACGATTTGGATAAGATACCGTGCAAACAGAAGATAAAATACACACAATGAGTTCAGCGATCGATATTACTAGCGGACCTCTCACTGACTAGATATTGAAAATCACACGATTTATGGATACCATTAACGATAATATTTGCTAATATGAATAATTACATCTAAGCTAAAAATGATTATGAAGATATGATTCGGTAGATTTGCAAGAATCCTCGGAGGAATTTAGTCAGTCATGTAGTACGAAAATATTTGCGAGGCAAAATGTTGGTAAACATTGTTGTCTGACGCGTCAGACAATGAACTCACTGCCGAACGGAACAAGGTTGTTACAAATATGTATCAAACACGTCGTATACGACGAGTCAATTTCTTTGTTTTGCGACAAATCGTAGAAACTGCCTGGGAATAAAAGAGTGAGAAAAGTAGGGGATAATAGGATTACACATGGGATTCAGATAAGACTTTTGATAAGATTACCGTGGAATAATACTTGACGCAGTGCACATTTTTACAGTCGGTTCGTCACGATACATTTTCCCCGTCGCTTTGAATCGGTAGTAGAAAACATAAACTGAAATTTAAGGGATGCCCGTCTTGGGTTTCGGTTAAGAATTTATGTTCTTCTTTTTTTATGGGTAAAAGGGACAAAGATTGCTTTATAATATCACCCTTGGAACCACTTGTTGCTCGAAATATAAATATAAAATGATGTAATACTAGATCAACGGTAGATTTAACAATGATGTACGTCTTCGATAACCATCCGCGGATTTGTTAATGACGAAGAAATACGTCGGCGACTGCGTATGCGTTAACGTCTACATAAATTACTTTTGACCTTTCGTCGAGACGTCCAATCGGAAAGATGGTACATAAGAATAATGATTCTTACTTCAGAAGTAGGACACACCCTGTGCAAATATTTACTCGATGTCGCGTATCTTACGCGATTCGGAGTTTTATAAATTAATTGAAAAGAGAAAGCAGCGACCTTTCGGTCGGATATTTTTGTGAAATCCACGGTCGAACGAGGTGTACAGCGACGATACGTTTGTGACGTAAGATTCGATATCCGTGCATAGGTCATTTAAAATGACGTTATTGTGGCGTTACGTGGTTTCGCAGACATTCAGGCGCGGATGTTCCATAGTCAACGATAGAACGCAAAATGAATCGGAAAGAGTCGGCGCTCGTCTCTCAATAATTTACGCGATTCTCTCGTACGAAACGATTTGTTATCGCCGGTTTGTCGAGTCAATTTTGAGATTTGTCGAGGATTATAAAATGGTGACGAAGCGTTGACGACGCAGTTAATCGGTCGGTGTATGATTCATTCGTCCTCGATGAGTATTAAAGAAAAAGAGTGAACGTTCAGCGTTCATCGGTTACGTTTTTCTATGCAGCCGTTCTCTCGTTGACAATCATTTTTGGTTCATTCGCTCGCGAACTGATTAGTTACCGATAATGAATTTTATCGTGCCCTGTTAATGTTCTTTGTATCGAACAATTAGAAAAATTTATAAACAATGATGATTGCGACGACGAGCCACACAAATCGCAAGGCCTCCATCGGAACAGCAACAGTTAATTCTTCATTTTGATACGACAATGGAGCCCAGTTTACCGCGTCGCTAATCTATGTACTATTACAACGATTTTTCTGTCCGATTCCATTTCAAACACACACCGGTCGAGCAGTTCATAGTCCTACCGCGTCAAGACACGCTTTGTTCTCATCGTCTCGCTTCTGCTACTTCTCATAGTCGCTAACCATGTATTTTGCACAATCCTCGCATTATTGCGCGCAACAGCGTTCACGCTAAGTGGAAGAGTCGCGTTTCTAATCGGAGTTCGTATTTCTCTTCAAATTACTGGAACATGTTTCCCTTCTTGCTCTCGTTTAAATTGTATTTCATTCCAGTTATGAAATTAGTTTTGTAAATTATAAAAGCGGATAAACTAGGTTAAAATTAAGGGAAACTCATAGTTTTTCCGTTTGGGAGTACTCGAATAAATCTACGTGAGAATTTCTGGTTTCGAAACTGCCACTTGAAGCATCTTGGTACGATTAAGTTATTCTGACATAAAATGTAAAAGCTGTCATTTTTTAAATTATAGGTCGAACGTAATCTGCTAGGCGACGTATGATAGTTTCAACTGGCGACTATACGATACCGATTAGCTTGGCACGTGCCGGTGAGCTTCTTTGAATAAGAAAGTAAGATAAACTAGGTGTTAGGTTAGTAGAAGAATAGAGGGATTTGCTATTCTGCCGTATAAATAGATATGGTCGAAGAGTTCTAGACTCGTAGCTTGACAACCGAATATTACGTATTACAGGAAGAAAGAAAGATTACATGTAGAGAAGGGACTGGAACGATCGGTAAAATTTAAAGCTCTCGCGTGCAATTGCGTCATAGTGACGTCTTTTAGTTTGTAAGAGGGCTATTGTCGTATTACTATGTCTTCTCACGAGTTAAAGTTGGAAGCCTTCGATGCAATCGTGTATCCTTTGTTCGAACTTTTATCCGGGGAGAGAAGGATTAAGATAAAGGACACTCGGCCCGGGAACGTTTCCGGTTATGCGACTTTCACGGTTTCTTTTCGATAAATATCAGGCTTCCAACTATTTACGCTAACAAATTGTCTCATTTTCCTGTATCGGTCGGGAAGCGTTATAGCTCGGCTCGTGTCCCTCGACCCGCACCCT